GAGAAATGGCTAGCAGTGACTAAGTATGTGAATGGAAAAAAAGTGGAGGTTGTAATTTTATTCTGTATTTTACTGCACTCAAGTTTATCTATGTTTTTTTTATCCATTTTTACCTTTCCACCTTTATCTTGTATTTTTCTTCCTTTCTTATCCTTTCCCATTTCCCGACTGTTTTTACTTTACCTTTGTATATTACATTATAATTTCATGACATTTATTTTAAAAACAAAATACACTTCTTGCAGATGTTTCCTAACCTAACTAGGTAGCATCCTCAGTGCTAAAAGGGAGTGGGGGAGGAGGAGGAAGAGGAGGAGGAGGAAGAGGAGGAGGACGACTGTGGGATCTTTGGTGCTCTCTGAGCTTGGTTATTTTCTTGCAGACGTTTCTTGACCCAACTAGGGAACATCACCAGGGCTAGAAGGGAGTGAGGTTTGGGGAGAGGAGAACTGTGGATCCTTATTGCTCTCTGTACTTGGTTGTTTCCTAGCAGACATTTCATGACCCAACTAGGGAACATCTTCAGTGTTATAAAGAAGTGAGGTTTGAGGAGGAGGAGGAGGAGGAGAAGGAGGAGGAGGAGAGGAGGAGGAAACTGTGGGGTCCTTGGTGTTCTCTGAGCTTCATGGTTTACTTGCAGACATTTCATTAATCATCTAGGTAACATCATCAGTGCTAAAAAGGTTGCTGAGAGGAGGAGGAGGAGGAGGAGGAGGAGGAAGACGACAAGGACTGTGGATCTTTATTATTCTCTTCTTGGCACCTATTATTTATTTATTTATTTATGAGACTTATATACCGCTTTAAGTGCAAGCACTCTCTAAGCGGTGTACACCAGTGAGCAACGTATATATATATTTACATTGCCCCCAACAATCTGGGTCCTCATTTTACCTACCCCGGAAGGATGGAAGGCTGAGTCAACCTTGAGCCGGTGAGATTTGAACCGCTGACCTGCTGAACACAGTCAGCTAAAGTGGCCTGCAGTACTGCACTCTAAGTGCTGCGCCACCTCGGCTCATTAAACAGACGATTCTTTAATTATTTTACTTCTATCTATCTCTGCTTCTAGTTGTTTTAACCTTAACCATCATATACAGGTCCTCGACTTATCAACAGTTCATTTAGTGATTGTTCAAAGTTACAACTGCACTGAAAAAGGTGACGTATGACCGTTTTTCACACTTACGTCCGTTGTGGCATCCCTATGGTCACGTGATCAAAATTCAGATGCTGGGCAACTGACTCATATTTATGACGGTTGCAGTGTCCCAGATCACGCGATCCCCTTTTGCAACCTTATGACAACAAAGTCAATGGAGGAGCCAGATTCATTTAAGAGCTATATTACTAATTTTACTGTGGTGATTCACTTAACAACTGTGGCAAAAAAGGTCGTAAAATGGGGCAAAGTTCAATTCACAAATGACTCACTTAACAACATAAATTTGGGGCTCAATTGCCATTGTAAGCTGAGGACAACATGCATCTGTTTTGTGACATTGGGCGTGCTTCAATATTGTGCCACTAAAATTTTGATACATGCATTTTGCAAAACTTCTAAGTCCTAAACTGTAACAATTACGGCTTTCCTAGATTTTCAGGAGCCCTTATGGAATTTACATCCTCTTCAAAGTACATCTGAAGGATCCAGATTTTGTGCATTCTTCCCACTGGAAGATGCTACCAGAAAAATAATCTGGTTGCCACTTTTTTTGAGATGCTGCGAGAAAATTCAGTCAAGGATGGAGGTCAATTTCTAAAAAGCTGCAAGTGCAGGTGGTCCTCGTCTTACGACCACAATTGGGACCAGCCGGGAAGGTTCTGTTACATTCCTAACTTTTAATCTTAAAATTATTCATTTTTGAAAGTTTTATTGTATTGATTAAATTGTACACCATTCATAACTCTTCTGTGAAGGAGGTTAAAAAGTTGGATGAATGGATGGATGGGTGGATGGATGAATAGATAGATAAATAGAGGATAGATAGCTGGCTGGCTGGATAGGAAGCTAGATGATAAATAGATGATAGATAGATAAATGGATGGATGGATGGATGGATGGATAGCAAGCTAGATAATAGATAGAAGATAGATAGATAGATAGATAGATAGATAGCAAGCTAGAGATAGATAGATAAATAGATAGATAGATAGGTAGATGACAGATGGATGGATAGCAAGCTGGAAGATAGACAGACAGACAAGCAGACAGATAGACAGACAGATAGCTGGATGGATGGATGGATAGCAAGCTAGATGATAAATAGATAATAGACAGACAGATAAATAGATAGATACATGATAGATGCAAATGGCGATCACATGACCCTGGGAAGCTGCAATTCTAGTCAAACACACACTTATTGCCAAGTGCCCAAATTTTGATCATGTGACCAAGGGAATGCTGCAATGGTCATAAGTCCAAGAACCGATCATAAGTCACTTTCTTCGGTGCCTTTGTAACATTGAAGGGTCACTAAACAAATGCTGATGAGTCGAGGACTGCCTATACATGACTGAAAATGCACAATGCCTCGCCTGACCTCAGAGAGAGGTGAGCAGGGAGTGGGAAATATGGGGGGGGGGTAGAGAGAACCCCATCCTTTTGCAACCTCTTCAGGTTACACCCTGGTCAGGTAAACAAGTGTGTGCAGAAATATCCAGGCGCCTGCTCAGGTGTGGTCTGTCAGGATGTTTGTTTGACAAGTGTGGTAAAGAAGTCATCAGCTCCACCTCACCTGCCGTCTTTCTCCCCAGGCCTCCAAAACCATTTAGTCAAAACACCCAACCTTCAGCAGCAAATACAGGGAGTCCTCGACTTATGACTGAGGCCTCTCTTGCTAGACAATGCCGTCTTCTAGTCCAACCACCCGCTCAAACTGGAGACCTTATACCAGGGGTAGGTAACCTTGGCTCTTTTATGACTCGTGGACTTCAACTCCCAGAATTCCTGAGCCAGCCATGCTGAGGGAAAAGAGAGAGGTTTCCAAGCTGAGGCATGCTGGCTCAGGAATTCTGGGAGTTGAAGTCCACCAGTCATAAAAGAGCCAAGGTTGCCTACCCCTGCCCTATACCATGCAGGTGAAATGGTTGCCCCGTTTCTTCTTAAAAGCCTCCAATGATGGAGCACCCACAACTTCTGGAGGCAAGTCATCCCACTGCTTAATTGTTCTCCCTGTCAGGAAGTTTCTCCTTAATTCCAGGTTGGATCAGTGATGGAGCACCCATAACTTCCGAAACTATGACCAGTTTTCCTGGAGAACATCTACAAATGTGATCACTAAGACTCAACGACAACTCGATGAAACATTATCAAGCCATTACTCTGAAGAAGCCCTAGGCAAGGGGTAGGCAACCTTGGTTCTTTTATGACTCGTGGACTTCAACTCCCAGAATTCCTCAGCCAGCCATGCTGAGGGGAAAGGGAGAGGTTTCCAAGCTGAGCCACGCTGGCTCAGGAATTCTGGGAGTTGAAGTCCATGAGTCATAAAAGAGCCAAGGTTGCCTACCCCTGCCCTAGTCAAAACCCAGTCTGCTCTTTCTAGCTACTAAGATCCAGGAATTCCTCGACTTACAGCAGTTCATGTAATGACTGTTCAAAGTTACAACGGCACTGAAAAAGGTGACTTATGACCGTTTTTGACCCCTGACCGTTGCAGCATCCCCGTGGTCACGTGATCAAAATTCAGAGGCTTGTCTGCTTATTTGAAGGATCATACACAAGAAAGATATATTATTGTATGGAGAAGATGGATAGATTATATTCAGAAAAAATATGGGACTATAAAGATTCATTTATTTTATGAGTAAATTTTATAGTAACTGTTGTAGAGATTTGTTTATATGACTTAATTTAAGGGGAGTTGAAGGTTAAGTATGATGTTTTTTTTCTCTTTTATTTTCTTTTTTTCTTTTATTATTGTTAACTTTCTTAATAATAACCCTGTATTCTGCTCTGGGAAGCGAGGGGGGGGAGGGTTGAGGGTGGGTGGGTGGGTGAGTGGGTGGGTAATGATAATATAGACATGGTAAACGCTTGGGCATTTCCCCTATGCTGCGTTCATGTGTGTGAGAGGGATGAGAGGGGAGGAAGGAGTAGGGAGGAAGTAGAATGGTTAGAGGAGAAGGGGGGGGGAAGATAGTAGGAGGGGAGGAGAGAAAGAGGAGGGAAGTGGAGAAGGATTAGAGAGGGTGGACGCAGCCTGGGGGAATGGGCAGGCGGTACCAATGGTTAGGAATTTAATTGTATTTTGTATGAATAAATGGAAAATAAAAACTTTTTTAATTAAAAAAAAAATTCAGAGGCTTGGCAACTGACTCGTATTTATGACGGTTGCAGTGTCCTGAGGTCACGTGATCTCTTTGGCGGCCTTCTGACAAGTAAAGTCAGATTCACTTAAAAACCGTGTTACTAAATGAACAACTGCAGTGATTCACTTAATAACTGTGGCAAGAAAGGTCTTAAAATGGGGCAAAACTCACTTAGGAAATGTCTCACTTAAAAACAGAAAACCTGGGGCTCAATTGTGGTCGTAAGTCAAGGACTAATAACAGCACTGCAACCTAGAGAAGTTGGAAGATCCGTCTGCTCCAGGCCATCACCCAACCTGCCTGGAAAAATCCAGGAACGCTGGGCTGACCATCGTTGGAAATGAAACAAAACAAAACAAAACAAAAATCCAGCAAGCCTAAACTTATATTCAACAATGGCTGTGTTACCTTAGTAAATTCATTATGTTGGAAACAAAAGGATCAGGATGGTCTTTCAGCTGCCGTATTAATCGCATTACCATCACCTGCCCCGCAGCCCAGATCAGTTGACAAAATCCTTTACAACAAGGTGTTAAGAAGGCAGAAATGATTCATCCGTGCGTTTGCAACGCAGCTTTCCGTCTTTTGTGTCTTTGGAGACACATCTTGGGGAAAGATTTTTCCACCGCCGCTGAACCATTGATCTACCAAAACAGGAATGGAAATTATACCTCTCCCCTGCTCACCTTTGAGGTCACCGTTGAGGTTCACCAAAAGTGGGCTGTTCTTCCAATCAAAGGAAGCGAGCAGGTGAAGGAACCGAAGGAAGCCCACTTGGGGAGAGCTGGTGAGGAGGAAAAACAATTACAAGCAGGTGAGAGGTATTTGTCTCAACACCAGGCTGAACAAAGCCACTAGCAACAAAGAAAAAGCACAAAAGCTTTGGGCTGTAAGTAGAAAAGCAAACACACAAATCCCAAGAGAAAACGGATTTACTCAGAGGTTTAAGGGGAGTGGGGTTCCACCATACTTATTTCCTAGTTAAGTATCATGAAACTGCAGTCGCTCCTTGCAAAAAAAAAAAGGGGGGGGGGGTTTAGCAGCCCCTTGTCACGCTAACAAAGGTTATTAAAAGGCTTAAGCTGCTGAGGCTGCGTCTTTCAATAAAATTTGTTAGCAGAAAAAGGTGTCACCAATTTCCTAAGGAATTTTAGCCACACAAAGTAGCTCGAATTACATCAGTTTGTTTAGAGACGGTTTGAAGTTGCCACGGCACTGAAAAAAGTGACTTTTAACCGTCTTTCACATTTAGGATCCTTGGGATCAAAATTCAGATGCTTGGCAACTGGCAGGTACTTATGACGGTTGGGGTGTCCCGGGGTCCTGTGATCCCCTTTTGTGACTTTCTGACAAGCAAAGTCAATGGGGAAGCCAGATTCACTTAACAGCCGTGCTGCTAATTTAGCAACAGCAATGATTCACTTTGCAACGGTGGCAAGAGAGGTCGTAAAACGGGGCTAAATTCACAACCAATGTCTCGCTTGCCACAGAAATGTTGGGCTCCATTGTAGGTTGTAAGTCGAGGACTACCTATAATTAAATTTCTTAGGAGAAAAGGGGGCTACTTGTTTCCAAAGAATTTTCGGCTACTATACGGTAATTAACACACTTTTCTTACTACAGTCATTAATTGCATTGGCCAATATGGAAAAGTGCAAAAGGGACTCGTGGACTCAGTGAGTCCTCGACATACGACAATTGAGCCCCAAATTTCTGTCGTTAAGCGAGACATTTGCGAAACGGGTTTTGCCCCATTTTACGACCTTTCTCACCACAGTACTTAAGTGGGTCACTGCAGTTGATCAGTTAGTGACACGGTTGTTAAGTGAGTCTGGCTTCCCCCTTGATTTTGCTTGTGAAAAGCTTGCAAAAGGTGATCACAGGACCTTGGGACACAGCAACAGTCATAAGTACGAGTCAGTTGCCAAGCATCTGAATGTTGATCCCGTAATCCTGGGGCTGCTACAAAGATTCTAAGTGTGAAAAATGGTCGTAAGTCCCTTTTTTCCTCAGTGCCTTTGTAATTTTGAACAGTCATTAAATGAACTGTTGTAAGTCGAGGCCTTCCTGCAATGTCAATCTTGCCCTTGGTGGAAAGGTTTACCCAACAGCAGTTGCAAAGGGGCTGCCCCAAAGAAGAGGGAGTCAAGCTATTCTCCAAAGCGCCTGAAGGCAGAACAAGAAGCAATGGGTGGAAACTAACCAAAGAGAGAAGCAACCTAGAACTAAGGAGAAACTTCCTGACAGTCAGAACAATTAACCAGTGGAACAACCTGCCTCCAGAAGCGGTGAATGCTCCAACACTGGAAGTTTTTAAGAAGAGATTGGACAGCCATTTGTCCGGAATGGTGTAGGGTTCCCTGCCTGAGCAGGGGGTTGGACTAGATGACCTCCAAGGTCCCTTCCATCATCATCATCATCATCATCATCATTATTACTACCAGGGACTGATTCTGTGGAGAAAGATTTTCCACAGACCAGAGGGCACATGGTTTCATGTGGTGCCCGCATCCAGTGGATGGGGCTTCACTTGTTTGCACAGTCCGTTTGCTAGTATGCTACAGACCGGTGCCGGTCTACAGACCTGGGGTTGGGGACCTCTGTCCTAAACCAATAAATAAAAATAGGTACGGAAGAAAGGAATTCTGGGAGTTGGAGTCCAGAAGTCATCAAGGGGGCCACGGTTCCCCACCTGTGAGATATAATCAAAGAAAACTCATCAGCCGAAGCGGCACATGTCACATTGGCTGCTCACCTGGGTGCCGTGAACGGAGCTGGAGAGAGGAAAAGGAAGGCCGCTAATAAATCCACAGCCTCCTCCGCAAGGCTGTCGCTCAGCATCTGGGCGCTGATCCATCGCTTGGCGAGACGGCAGCTGCCGCTAAAAGCCGGATATTGTTGCTGGAGGCTGCGGGGAGGAAAATAAAGGATGTTAAGAGCAGGATCAAGAGGAACGGAAATTCCCACAAGTTCTTGCTGGGAGGGGCTTTGCTCTTGCTAGAAACGACGAGGTGTTTCAGAATGAATTCCAGATAATCCTCGACTTACAACATTCAGTTCATTAATCACTGCCACACTGATAAATGGAATTTTACATTTGGATGGTTGCCTTGACGCAATTTCCTTCCTTCTGTCTATGAATCAGTAAAAATTCCAACAAAACGAAGTGTACCTGAACACATGCAACAGTCCCCATCCTCATAGCACATTGCAATCTGAGCAAAAACAAGCAAACAAACAATCCCCCCCCATCACCGAATTCAAGATTGGGCTATGCCACAGGTCGGCAACCTGCGGCTCCGGAGCCGCATGCGGCTCTTTGAGCCTTCCCCTGTGGCTCCCAGCTTCCTCTGCCTTTGAAGAGAGAGACAGAGACAGAGAGAGGCAATTGCGCTTCCCTGCTTCTCTCTCTCTCTCTCTCTCTCTCTCTCTGTGTGTGTGTGTGTAAAAAAGAGAGTGCACTCACAGTGTTCTACGAGGAGCTGAAAAGCTTACTGGGCGGAGCTCCTCCCTTTGCTGCGTCTCTGCAGGAAGCAGGAAGCAGGAAGGGCAGGAGAGAGCTAGCTAGCCCAGCTAGGCTGACTCAGGAATTCTGGGAGTTGAAGTCCAGGAGTCATAAAAGAGACGAGGTTGCTTACCCCTGAGCTTGTTGGACAACAGCTTGAAGCTTGCCAGGTGAGCAGCAGATAGGAGGGGGGGGAGAAAGAGAGAGAGAGAAAGAAAGAGAGTGGGGGAAGAGGAGTGGCAGACCAAGGGCAGATAGAGAGGGAGGGAGGGAGAGAGACACAGAGAGAGACCCTTTTGACATCTAAAATGAAGATAACACTGCATATATCCTTTTTTTACCTGTGTGTGCATGTAATTTTATTCTCTTAAAGCATTAAAGCATTCTCTTGGTGAGCATTGTTTTAATAGTATGGATATTCCCAAGAGTCATATTTTTACTTTTATTGTGTGTGTGTGTGTATACATACACACAAACACAAACACACACACACACCTATAATAAAGGTTAAAAAAGGATATATGCAGTGTTATCTTGATTTAAGATATCAAAAGTGTTTTGCGGCTCCCGGTGTTTTGTTTTTGGTGGGAAACGGGTCCAAGTGGCTCTTTGAGTGTTTTGGGTTGCCTACCCCTGGGCTATGCGGATAACTAACGTAAGAGGAGATTTGAGTTTTTTTAATAACTGAAATTGCCAAGCCACTCCCTTCCAAGAGAGAAAGTAATGTGCTACTATCTCCTCCTCTGATGAGGACAAAATATGTCTTCTGTCCCTAATAGCTGTCATTCCCTCAGGAGGTGACTATCTCCTGCTCTTATAGTACACAGAATCTGTCTACCATATTCCTAGCATTTTTTAAAAAAATACTTGCATAATAAAAAGGGGTCCTCTGGTAATTGTGGAATATGTGTTTCATCTTCACTAATATCCTGGAAGTTGAATCATGGCAACTTCTTTTCTTGTTGGTTTGAAATGTTTCGCTTATCCAGTTAAGTTCTTCCGTCTAGTACAAGAGTAGGCAACCGTGGCTCTTTTATGACTGGTGGACTTCAACTCCCAGAATTCCTGAGCCAGCATGGCTCAGCTTGGAAACTCTCCCTTTCCCCTCAGCATGGCTGGCTCAGGAATTCTGGGAGTTGAAGTCCACTAGTCATAAAAGAGCCAAGGCTGCCTACCCATGGACTAGGCCTACCAGTTTCTGATAATGTACTCCTGTCAGGCTTAATAGACTAGGCCACGGGTAGGCAAGCTTGGCTCTTTTATGACTCGTGGACTTCAACTCCCAGAATTCCTGAGCCAGCATGGCTCAGCTTGGAAACTCTCCCTTTCCCCTCAGCATGGCTGGCTCAGGAATTCTGGGAGTTGAAGTCCACAAGTCATAAAAGAGCCAAGGTTGCCTACCCATGGTCTAGTATTACTTAGTGGCCGTTCAAAGGCTGGATGAACCCTTCGTGGCTCAAAGGCAGCTTATGCGATTTATTTTATTTAAGTACGTAAATAACTGTATGTAAATAATTCCACCCAGCTGTGCAGAACAAGCCGGTCTATTCAGGATTTCCTGTTATCGGGCAGATACAGGTGCATTGCTAGTTTAGCTGTAAATTATGGGCTCCACTGTGGTCGTAAGTCGAGGACCACCTGTATATCTAAAATGGCAAAAATGTTCCCTGGGCTCATTGTCTATGGAGGTTCTTAGTCATCCAGGTCCTGATTATCCCAAAGGGGCTTTTTTTTTTTCCCCTGAGAGGCACTTGGTCTTTCTTGCCTTTGCTTGAAGAGGTTTCGCTTCTCATCCAAGAAGCTTCTTCGGTTCTGACTGAATGGCGGAGGAATTCAGAATTCCTGAGCCAGCCATGCTGAGGGGAAAGGGAGAGTTTCCAAGCTGAGTCTTGCTGGCTCAGGAATTCTGGGAGTTGAAGTCCACGAGTCATAAAAGAGCCAAGGTGGCCTACCTCTGGCCTAGTCTATTAAGCCTGACAGGAGTAGATGATCAGAAACTGGTAGGCCTAGTCCACGGGTAGGCAGCCTTGGCTCTTTTATGATTCGTGGACTTCAACTCCCAGAATTCCTGAGCCAGCCATGCTGAGGGGAAAGGGAGAGGTTTTCAAGCTGAGCCATGCTGGCTCAGGAATTCTGGGAGTTGAAGTCCACGAATCATAAAAGAGCCAAGGTGGCCTACCTCTGGCCTAGTCTATTAAGCCTGACAGGAGTAGATGATCAGAAACTGGTAGGCCTAGTCCACGGGTAGGCAGCCTTGGCTCTTTTATGACTCGTGGACTTCAACTCCCAGAATTCCTGAGCCAGCCATACTGAGGGGAAAGGGAGAGGTTTCCAAGCTGAGTCTTGCTGGCTCAGGAATTCTGGGAGTTGAAGTCCATCAGTCATAAAAGAGCCAGGGTTGCCTACCCGATCTAGGCTAAAAGGAGGGGTTTGGCAGCAGCAGCAGCAGCAGCAGGGGGGGGGAGGAGGAGGAGGAGGAGGAGGACTGTGGGGCCTATGGTACTCTCCGAGCTTGGTGGTTTTCTTGCAGACGTTTCATGACCCAGCTAGATAGAATTATCTCGGCTAAAGGGAGTGGGGTTTGGTGGGAGGAGGAGGAGGAGGAGGAGGAGAAGGAGGAGGAGGAGGAGGAGGAGGAGGACGACTGTGGGGCCTATGGTACTCTCTGAGCTTGGTGGTTTTCTTGCAGACGTTTCATGACCCAACTAGCACTGATGATGTTCCCTAGTTGGGTAATGAAACGTCTACAAGAAAACCACCAAGCTGAAAGAGCACCAAATACCTCCTTCTTCCCCCATTTATCCCCCTAAAAAGAGCACCAGAGGACTGGGCCCAGGCCCAACCCAGAGCTGGCTCTTCTCTCGTACCCGTGGAGCGAGCTAGTCAAGAAGGGCAGATGCAACGTCTCAAGTTCCAGCTGCTGAGACTCTGGACTCTCCTGGTACTTCAGCATCCCCTCCGGAGTGACCACCTCCTTCAGGACCTGGGGCTCTCGATGGTAGACCACTCGCAGGCGGAAGACGTAGCCATTCTACAGGAAGACCAAAAATGGAAATTACAACCAGGTCTAACTCACGTTCCTTCCCGGCTTATCCAACCCAGCCTGGAATACCCATTTCTAGGTAGTCCTCGACGTACGATGACAACTGAGCCCCCAAATTTCCGTTGCTAAGCAAGAGTATTGATAAGTGAGTTTGGCCCCATTTTAACGACCCTTCTGGCCCTAAGTGCTAAATGAATCACTGCCGTTGTTAAGTGAGTCACATGGTTGTTAAGTGAATCCGGCTTCCCCATTGGCTTTGCTCGCCAGAAGGTCGCAAAAGAGGATCACGTGACACCCCCCCATGGGATACTGCGACCATTGTAAATATGAGCCAGTTGCCAAGCGGCTGAAGGATGATCACGTGACCGCGAGGGAGGCCTCAATGGGCATAAAGGGCAAAAACTAGTCGTACGTCCTTTCTTTCTGTGCCACTGGGACTACGAATGGTCACTAAATGGATGGTGGTAAGTTGAGGACTACCTATATTTTCTCCAAGGCTGGAAAGAGATGGATAGAAGGAAGGGAAGGAGGGGGGGAGGAAGGAAGGAAAAGAGGGAAGAGAAGGGAGGGAGAAAGGAAGGAAGGGAAAGAGAGGGAAGGGAAAGGAGGAAGGGAGGAAGGAAAAGAGAGGGAAGGGAGGGTGGGAGGAAGGAAGAAAAGAGGAAAGAAGGGAGGGAGGACAGAGGGGAAAGAGGGAAGGGAAAGAAAAGACAGAAGGGAAGGTGGGAGGAAGGAAGGAAGGAAAGAAAAGAGGGAAGAAGGGAAGAGAAAGAAGGGAGGGAGAAAGAAAGGAAAGGAAAGAGGGGGAAGGGAGGAAGAAAAAAGAGGGAAGGGAAGGGTGGGAGGGAGGAAGGTAAAGAGAGGGAAGGGAGGAAGGAAAAAGAGGGAAGAGAAGGGAGGAAGGAAGGAAAGAAAAGAGGGAAGAAACAAAGAGAAAGGAGGAAGAAAGGAAGGTAAAGAGAGGGAAGGGAGGAAGAAAAAGAGAGGGAAGGGAGCGTGGCAGGGAGGGAGGAAGGAACATAAAGAGAGAGAAGGGAGGAAGAAAAAAGAGGGAAGGGAAGGAAGGAAAGAGGGAAGAAGGCAAGGGAGAAAAGAAGGAAGGTAAAAAGAGGGAAGGGAAGGGGGGTGGGAGGGAGGAAGGTAAAGAGAGGGAAGGGAGGAAGGAAAAAGAGGGAAGGGGAGAGGAAGGAAAGAGGAAAGAGAAGGGAGGGAGAAAGGAAGGAAGGTAAAGAGAGGGAAGGGAGGAAGGAAGGAAGAGAGGAAAGGGAGAGTGGGAAGGAGGAAAGAATGTAGAGAGAGGGAAGGGAGGAAGGAAAAAGAGGGAAGGGAATGGTGGAAGGAGAGAAGGGAGGAACAAAGGAAGGAGGGAAGGAAGGAAAGAAAAGAGGGAAGAAGGGAAGAGAAGGGAGAAGGGAAGGGAAGGGAAGGAAGGCGCTCCAGGACTATTACCTTATATATATCAGTGTAGGTGGCGGATGGCCGGCAGAGTAGATGGTGCTGCTCATTCAGGACTTCAGCTAGTTGCAACTGGAAAGCCGCTTTGATGCGCTGAATGGCCTCCTTGTTCCGCGGCCACTGACCGCTTCCCTCCATCTGGCAAATCACTGGAAGGAGGGAAGGAACACCACCAAGAGAGATCAATCCAAGAGCCACAGGGGGAACATCTACCAACCCTGCTGAACCATCAAACCCAGGACCCCACATTCTCCTCTACGTGGTGGACAGCTGGGCCGCCGTCTCCCAAAAGCCAGCACCTCCGGGAATAGGAGCAGATGGGAGACCATCTCCGCTACCAGGGTTTAGATAGGGCTCTTGAGACCGGCAGCTTTTAATAGCCTTCTCCTCCGTGAATGTACAGGCAATTCTCAAGTTATGACTGTAATGGAGCCTGGCCATCCTAGATGTAAACTCATGACGGACGGTCATAAAACACGTTGCCTATGGAGATTCTCGATCCTCCAGGCCACGGTTGTCCCCAAGGTGCTTTTTTTTCCAAAAGGCAACTGGACTTTCTTGAGGTTTTTTTTTTTTTTTTGAAAACGTTAGACTTCTCATCCGAGAAAAAGTGAAGTAGCTTCAATGTGTTTGTTTTGTGGGGTGGTTTTTTCTGTTTGTTTGTTTCTTTGTGTTAAAAAGTTTTGGAGTTTTTGAATTTTAACTTTTGTTTTTTTAAATAAAAAATCGGGGAGGGGGGGAGACATTTTATGATCTATTGCTTGCTGTTTATATGTACATTGTGAGCTTCTGCACCGCAGACAAATTCCTTGTTTGTTCAGTCACACGGTCAAAAAAAAATTCAGTTCAATTCAATTCTACTCTAAATTTTCTATATTCTATTCTATTTTTTTCTATTTATTCCATTCCACTCATATTCTATTCTACTCTAAATTTTCTATATTCTATTTTTTTTTCTATTCTATTCTAAATTTTCTATTGTATTCTATTGTATTGTATTATATTATGTTCTGTTGTATTCTATTCTAAATTTTCTATATTCTATTTTTTTCTATTCTATTCTAAATTTTCTATTGTATTCTATTGTATTGTATTATATTATGTTCTGTTGTATTCTACTCTAAATTTTCTATATTCTATTCTATTTTTTTCTATTCTATTCTAAATTTTCTATTCTATTTTTTTCTATTGTATTCTACTGTATTATGTTCTATTCTACTCTAAATATTCTATATTCTATTCTATTTTTTTCTATTCTATTCTATTCTATTTTATTTCATTCCATTCCATTCTATTCCATATTCTATTCTACTCTAAATTTTTTATATTCTATTCTATTTTTTTCATTCTATTCTATTTCATTCCATTCCATTCTATTCCATATTCTATTCTATTCTACTCTAAATTTTCTATATTCTATTCTATTTTTTTTCTATTCTATTCTATTTTATTTCATTCCATTCCATTCTATTCCATATTCTATTCTATTCTACTCTAAATATTTTATATTCTATTCTATTTTTTTCTATTCTATTCTAAATTTTCTATTCTATTTTTTTCTATTGTATTCTACTGTATTATGTTCTATTCTACTCTAAATATTCTATATTCTATTCTATTTTTTTCTATTCTATTCTATTCTATTTTATTTCATTCCATTCCATTCTATTCCATATTCTATTCTACTCTAAATTTTTTATATTCTATTCTATTTTTTTCATTCTATTCTATTTCATTCCATTCCATTCTATTCCATATTCTATTCTATTCTACTCTAAATTTTCTATATTCTATTCTATTTTTTTTCTATTCTATTCTATTTTATTTCATTCCATTCCATTCTATTCCATATTCTATTCTATTCTACTCTAAATTTTCTATATTCTATTCTATTCTATTTTTTTCTATTCTGTTCTAAATTTTCTATTGTATTCTATTGTATTCTATTATATTATGTTCTGTTGTATTCTACTCTAAATTTTCTATATTCTATTCTATTCTATTTTTTTCTATTCTATTCTATTCTATTTCATTCCATTCCATTCTATTCCATATTCTATTCTATTCTACTCTAAATTTTTTATATTTATTTTATTTTTTCATTCTATTCTAAATTTTCTCCTATTGTATTATATTATATTGTATTGTATTATGTTCTATTGTACCCTACATTTTCTATATTCTATTCTATTTTTTTCTATTCTATTCTAAATTTTCTCATATTGTGTCATATTGTATTAATTCCATTCTACTCTGCCCTACTCTATTCTATTTTTCAACATTAACATAACAATTTAGAAAGACACCAAGGAATAATGTCTACTCAAAAAGGGTAACTAAGTGATGGAAAAGCTGAGCTAGCTGGCCTCTTATCAAACCTGCAGAGATAGAAAAGGCCTCAAAGTTCAACTCTCTGTTCAACACAGGAACCCAAATCACAGCAATTCAAATTAATCCACCCAGCTACCATGATCTCTCCAGATAATAGGTGTTGAAGGTCAAGCCATTCTTAATCTCTAGATAATTTTACCTCTCCAGATTACAGTTGCTGAATGTCAAATCAACCTTATCTTTAGATAAATTTTTCTAACATTCAACTTGAATCCATGTTCCTGTAACACAGGATTATTAACCCGCGCTTTACATTCTAGGATGAAAGGAAACAGGTCTGGTCTTTCAGAACCTCTGATCCCCAAGTCAACATGGTCCCCCCTCCAATCACCTCTTTTGCTTCCAGGATCTTCAAAACCAAAAGTCATCCATTTTCAACACTTACTGGAACTCAACCCAAGAAAGACTCAGATTTTCTTGCAACCCATCCCAATGATAAACCCTTGCCTTTTATTGGGGCCACGTAAGCAGGACACGGTTTTTTCGCCACGGGGAGAAAGGATGCTCGCTTTTTGATCTTGACATGGGATGTATAGTCTGGTTTCATAGGGACCGGAGGAAAAGTCTAGGAGAGAATCAGAAAAAAAATAATATGCCAAACAGAAGAATGAAGGGCTTGGGGGAAGATGTCATCCTGTCTCTCCTAAGCCTTCTTCAGGGTGCTGCAGCTGCCAAAAAAGCCAGCACGGTGCTAGGCTGCATTAGCAGAGGGATAGAATCAAGATCACGTGACGTGTTAATACCACTTTACAAGGCCTTGGTAAGGTCAACCTTGAAATACCGCAGCCAGTTTTGGTCAGCACGATATAAAAAGGATGTTGAGACTCTGGAAAGAGTGCAGAGAAGAGCAACAAAGATGATCAGGGGACTGGAGGCTAAAACATATGAAGAACGGTTGCAGGAATTGGGTATGTCTAGTTTAATGAAGAGAAGGGGGGACATGATAGCAGTGTTCCAATATCTCAGGGGCTGCCCCAAAGAAGAGGGAGTCAAGCTATTCTCCAAAGTGCCTGAAGGCAGGACCCCCCTCGCCTCACCTTGTGGCAATGGCACCAGTGTGCTACGTGGCCTCCTGCCCTGTTGTGGCTGCGAGAAAGCAGAGGGTGTGGGACACAGAAAGCAGATGGCCGCGCAGAACGCCGATGCCACCGTCGTGAGGTGAGGCGAGGCAGCTGGCAGGAGGGTGGAGCTGCCCCACGCCCCCACGCACCTTATAGCCCCCCAAGCCACCCACGCTCCGCCTCGCGGCAGCAGCAACACCAACAGCAGCAGCCCTGACCAGCAGGAGCCTGTGTGACCAGCAGCCCACTCCCTTCCACCGTCTGGTTGCTTGCAGCTGCAATGTGGTAGGCAGCCATGCAGCGACTACGAGATGAGGCGAGGCAGGTGGCGGGGCATGGGTGGCCTGGCTGCAGGGCCCTGAGCTGTACAGTGCAGCTCCACCCATTAAAAAATTATGCTAGGGCAGGGGTAGACAACTTTGGCTCTTTTATGACTCGTGGACGTCAACTCCCAGAATTCCTGAGCCAGCCATGCTGAGAGGAAAGGAAGAGGTTTCCAAGCTGAGTCATGCTGGCTCAGGAATTCTGGGAGTTGAAGTCCACGAGTCATAAAAGAGCCAAGGTTGCCGACCCCTGGCCTAGTCTATTAAGCCTGACAGGAGTAGATTATCAGAAACTGGTAGGCCTAGTCCACAGGTAGGCAGCCTTGGCTCTTTTAACATTCGTGGACTTCAACTCCCAGAATTCCTGAGCCAGCCATGCTGAGGGAAAAGGGAGAGGTTTTCAAGCTGAGCTATGCTGGCTCAGGAATTCTGGGAGTTGAAGTCCAGGAGTCATAAAAGAGCTGAGGCTGCCTACCCCTGCGCTAGGGCTTATTTTCTGGTTGGGTCTTATTTTCGGGGAAACACGATAGTCACCCCAGAAACTGTGACATCCAACCTGATCTAGGTAGGACAGCCGACCAGCTTGAGAACTTCAACCTGGAGATGATAATAGCTGTTCGACGGCGTCAGCCTGATGCCAAAGTTCCTGAGAACTCTTCCTTCCGGCCTCCTCCCAACATAGGTAGCCCTTGGCTTACCACAGTTCATTAAGTGACCGCTTGAAGTTACAACGGCCCTGAAAAAAGGGACTCGCGGCCATTTTTCACACTTACGACTATTGCAGCCTCCCCGGGGGTCACGTGATCAAAATTTGGATGCTTGGCAACTGGCTTGTACTTACGACCGATATATCCCGGGGTTTTGCCACCTTTTGGCAAACAAAGTCAACAGAGAAGCCAAGGTTCACTTAATAACTGTGTTCCTCACTTAACAACGGCAGAGGTTCGCTTAACAACTGTGGCAAGAAAAGTCGTAAAATGGAGCCAAATTCACCTAACAAGTGTCCCTGTTCGCGACAGACGTTTTGGGTTCCACTGTGGTTGTAAGTCAAGGACTACCTGTACCTCCAAAGGCATCTTACATAGGTCGCCACCCCTCCCAGCACCTTCTGTTCATGGCACTTAATAATAATAAAAGTTGGAAGGGATCTTGGAGGTCATCTAGTCCAACCCCCTGCTCAGGCAGGAAACCCTATACCATTTCAGACAAATGGCTGTCCAGTCTCTTCTTGAAATCTTCCAGTGTTGGAGCATTCACTGTTTCTGGAGGCAGGTTGTCCACTGGTTAATTGTTTTAAGTGTCAGGACGCTTCTCCTTAGTTCTAGGTTGCTTCTCTCCTTGATTAGTTTCCACCCGTTGCTTCTTGTCCTGCCTTCTGGCGCTTTGGAGAATAGCTTGACTCCCTCTTCTTTGTGGCAGCCCCTGAGATATTGGAACACTGCTATCATGTCCCCCCTCATCCTTCTCTTCATTAAACTAGACCTACCCAATTCCAGCAGCCTTTCCTTATATGTTTTAGCCTCCAGTCCCCTGATCATCTTTGTTGCTCTTCTCTGCACTCTTTCTAGAGTCTCAACATCTTTTTTACAGCGTGGTGACAAAACTGGATGCAGTGTTCCATTAACTCACCTCTGTGTATCGAAGGGCGGGGTGGGCTCCTTGCACCGCCGTCACCGTCAAGGGCAGCCCCTTCAGGTGCCAAAGCTTGCGGCTCAAATCGTCATAGGAACGGATCAGGTTCACCAGGTCTTCCTCGCCGGTCCCTGCAATCTGCGGACATCCCAAAGAGCTCAAGTCAGCCAAGGAGGATTAATTAGCACAAAGCCATTTGGTCAAGGCTTCAATCCTGTTTTTCTCAAAATCAGGAGGAAATGGACCAGCAAAAGAAAAGAGGGTGTTTTTGGTGGGTGGGGTTAAAAAGTGGATGAGCCTCTTTTTAAGTGCTAAATTACAATGATGCACAAAAATGTAAGTTTAGTAAATAATAAAAATAAGCAGGCATCTTGGGGCTGGCTGAGCTTGGTGGTCTTTTTGTAGATGTTTTGTGACCCAGCTGGGTAACATCATTAGTGCTAGAGAGGAGGGAGGCTTGGGAGGGAGGAGTAAGAGGAGGATGACGACTGAAGGATACTTTATACCAGTGATGGCGAACCTGTTAGAGACCGAGTGCCCAAACTGCAACCCAAAACCCACTTATTTATCGCAAAGTGCCAACATGGCAATTTAATCTGAATGCTGAGGCTTTAGTTTAGAAAAAACAACTCATACATTAACATCTTTTGTCTTAAAGGAAAAACACAACAACAAAGCTTTCCATGATACAAACAACTTTTTACTGAAAGGTCAAAGTTTGCATTCGGCATGCTTTTGAACGATTAATGTGATTTTTGCTGTTGTATGCCTGCTGATAATTTGTCTAACCTTGGCTTATACTTTGTAAGTTTGAGAGCAACACATGCAGCACTCGGGTCATCTCTTAGTCTGTTTCTGGGGTCAGATTTGATATTAATTCAAAGTTGAAAACAGCGCGCTCACTCCGGAGGCTTGTTTTGGCTAGGAAGGGGCTGGAGAAATGGCTTTTTCCTGCGAAAACGTAGCCAAAGAGTGAGGCGTGCGTGCCCACAGAGAGGGCTCTGAGTGCCCCCCTCTGGCACGCGTGCCATAGGTTCGCCACCACTGCTTTATACCCTGAGTTTGGCTTTTTTCGTGCAGACATTTAATTACCCAGCCAGGTAACACCATCAGTGCTAGAAGGGAGGGCAATTTGCAGAGAGGAGGAGGAGGGGGAGGAGGGGAAGAGAGGGGAGGAAGGATCCTTGGTACTCCTGAGTTTGGCTCTTTTCTTGCAGACATTTAATTACCCAGATGCAGACATTTAATTACCCAGATAGGTAACATCTTCAGTGCTAGAAGGGAGTGGGGTTTTTCTTTGTGATTCTATACAAGTAGCTTGCCCTTGTAAACAACAGAAAGAAAATAACCCTCCCTCTAACACACAGCAATCCGCTTGAATATAAACAGAGCAAACCCCCCCTCCTTTACAGCACTGGTGATGTTACCTATTTGGGTAAGGAAAATTGTGCAAGAAAACCACAAGCTCAGAGAGCAACTAAGATACCACAGTCGTCGTCCTCCTCCTCCTCCTCCTCCATCACTCCAAAAACCTCACTCTTTTCTAGCACTGATTATGTTACCTACTTTGGTCATGAAACGTCTGCAAGGAAACAACAAAGTCAAAGAGCACCGGGGACCCATAGGAGCTTCAGCACTCAAATTCTGTCATTCTGGCTTTCTTGGACCACGTCATCGAAAGGACACCTTGGGGTCCCCCCAAAGATGAAGAAAGGAGAGTTTCAAGGAGAGTTTTTGGAGGGACAGTTGAAATGCACCTTGCCTACCGGGCAGGGGTGGGGTGTTTCCCTCTTGATTTAGAGCAGGGATCTTCAAACTTGGCCCTTTTATGACTTGTGGACTTCAATTTCCAGAATTCCTCAGCCAGCGTGCCTGGGAGTTGAATTCTGAGAGTTGAAGTCCACAAGTCATAAAAGGGCCAAGTTTGAAGACTCCTGATATAGGGTCTCCTGTTTGAGCAGCAGGTTGGACTAGAAGACCTCCAAGGTCCCTTTCCACTCTGTTATTCTGATTTAGTCCAAGAAGGAGACATATCGGCCAGACCTAAGCGAGAATTAAAGGAGAAACTTCCTGGCAGTGAGAACAATTAACCAGTGGAACGCCTTGCCATCAGACGTTATGGGTGCTAGTGGTGATAATTAAGAATTAGTCGTCATTTTATTAATTATGGTTATTTAGAGGAACTGTACCTACTTATTAATCTTTAGTTATATGATTATAGTTAACTTCATTTATTATAACTGTTTAGCATTATATAAACCAGTGGTTCTTAACCTGGGCAATATTATTATTATTATTATTATTTATGAGACTTATATAGCACTTTAAGTGCAAGCACTCTCTAAGCGGTGTACACCAGTAAGCAATGTACATCTATATATTTACATTGCCCCCAACAATCTGGGTCCTCATTTTACCTACCCCGGAAGGATGGAAGGCTGAGTCGACCTTGAGCCGGTGAGATTTAAACTGTTGACCTGCTGAACACAGTCAGCTAAAGTGGCCTGCAGTACTGCACTCTAACTGCTGCGCTACCTCGGCTCATATTGCCCCCCAGGGGGCGATTTCATTTTTCAAGGGGGCGATGGAACGAAAAGGGGGCGATATGGGGGTGATGGAGCGAGAAGTTTTGGGGACTCCTTTGAGATTTTTTCGTGCAGTGAATCGCTGTCTATCTGTCGTACCAAAACATCAGATCGCTCGCTATTAGTGGATTGAATTGTGTTTTCAAAGGTTCCTCCAGCTAGCTTCAGTACAGAACGCCGTACATATGTGAAGACGCATCGCTTATCTTCATGCGCGTTGCGCAGCAGCCTCTACCCATACAGTGGCGCGCCATTGGCCAGAATATGGGAGATATGGGGAAAAGACTGGAAATACATTATTTGCATCGATATGTCCTGATGACAGTTTTAAAGAAAACAAAAAAAGTGTTTGCATAAATTGAGGAATTATTTCCTATGTTGTGATTGAGAGGTTATGTTAGGGGAGGGGGGCGATGACAACTTCCTCATTGGCTCAAGGGGGCCATTCATTCAAAAAGGCTAAGAACCACTGATATAAACTATGTTTATTCGATATTTATACCCGGATGGTAGTTTGCTTGTTAAAGCATGGAATTATTGTTGGGGGTTACCCCATTACTATACCTACCCTTACCCTATCCTGAATCCCCTCCTTCCACCCCTTCCCACACCGGTACCGACCCTATCCTTTCTCTCTCTGAATAAAATCTAATAAAATATTTATATATAAAAAAGAAGAAGTTATGGGTCCTCCATCACTGGAAGTTTTTAAGAAGAGATTGAAGAATTATTTGTCTGAAATGGTACAGGGCTTCCTGCCTGAGCAGCGGGTTGGACTTGATGACCTCCAAGGTCCTTTCCAGCATTATGTTCCCAAACCATCGATTTGGCAAAGCCTTCATCGCAGCCGAAGGAGATTATCCTGCAGGTTTTTAAGAAGAGACTGGACTGAAATGGTCTAGGGCAGGGGTAGGCAACCCAAAACACTCAAAGAGCCACTTGGACCCGTTTCCCACCAAAAACAAAACACCGGGAGCCGCAAAACCCTTTTGATATCTAAAATGAAGATAACACTGCATATATCCTTTTTTATCTTTATTATAGGTGTGTGTGTGTGTGTGTGTGTGTGTGAGAGAGAGAGAGAGAGAGAGAGAGAGAGTGTTTGTGTATGTGTGTGTATATACACACACACACACACACACACATTAAAAATAAAAGTAAAAATATGACTCTTGGGAATATCCATACTATTAAAACAATGATCACCGAGAGAATGCTTTAAGAGAATAAAATTACATACACACACAGGTAAAAAAAGGATATATGCAGTGTTATCTTCATTTTAGATGTCAAAAGGGTCTCTCTCTCTCTGTCTCTCTCCCTCCCTCCCTCTCTGCCCTTGGTCTGCCATTCCTCTTCCCCCACTCTCTTTCTTTCTCTCTCTTTCCTCTCTCTCTCCCCCTCCCTCTCTCTCTCTCTCTCTCTCTCTCTCTTTCTCCCCCCCCCCATCTGCTGCTCACCTGGGAAGCTTCAAGTTGTTCTCCAACAATCTCAGGGATAAGCAACCTCGTCTCTTTTATGACTCATGGACTTCAACTCCCAGAATTCCTGAGTCAGCCTAGCTGGGCTAGCTAGCTCTCTCCTGCCCTTCCTGCTTCCTGCAGAGACGCAGCAAAGGGAGGAGCTCCGCCCAGAAAGCTTTTCAGCTCCTCAGAGAACAATGTGAGTGCACTCTCTTTTACACATACACACACACGCTCACACACACACACACACAAAACACACACACACACACACACACAGATAGAGAGAGAGAGAGAGAAACAGGGAAGCAGGGAAGCGCAATTGCCTCTCTCTGTCTCTGTCTCTCTCTGAAAAGGCAGAGGAGGCTGGGAGCCACAGGGGAAGGCTCAAAGAGCCGCATGCGGCTCCGGAGCCGCAGGTTGCCGACCTGTGGTCTAGGGGAGGGGTCTTCAAACTTGGCCCTTTTATGACTTGTGGACTTCAACTCCCAGAATTCCTCAGCCAGGCACAGTTCAAGTCCACAAGTCATAAAAGGGCCAAGTTTGAAGACCCCTGGTTTAGAGAGTTATGTTGCGGAGTTATTTTATTTCCCAAACCATCCCCAGTGGGAAAAGGAGAAGAGAATCTCCTTGGGCAAATATCTCAAGAGACATTCAGGGATGGCAAAGAAGACAAGGAAAAAGATGGAATAGGACCTCACCTCATGCTCCACTTTAAGTAAGGGCTCCAGCAAAGCCCCTGTGTAAGAGATGGAAGTCTCTGGAACAGCCAGGTGCCTGCACAGAAAAGAAAACAAAGACGACCAAGCAGCATTAGAAATATTTCTTCTTCAAAGTCAGTTTGCATTCTTCTTGCCTCCGGAAGATCCTCTGAAATTGCCAAAAGTTAGGGTTGCATTCAGGCATCCCCCTAAACAAAGATACAAAGGTTGGCTTGATGCCAGCTTGGTGCAACATCTAAAACCAGCCGAGATGGCTTGCAAACCAACATTTACAGCTGTGCACGATGATCACTGTGGCATCTTCAACACACAGTGGTGAAAACTAGCCATGGTTTGGTACAGGGGTAGGCAACCTTGGCTCTTTTATGACTCGTGGACTTCAACTCCCAGAATTCCTGAGCCAGCCATGCTGAGGGGAAAGTGAGAGGCTTCCAAGCTGAGCCATGCTGGCTCAGGAATTCTGGGAGTTGAAGTCCACGAGTCATAAAGCAGCTTAGGCCCAGGCCAGAGGTAGGCAACCTTGGCTCTTTTCTGACTCGTGGACTTCAACTCCCGGAATTCCTGAGCCAGCATGGCTCAGCTTGGAAGCCTCTCTCTTTCCCCTCAGCATGGCTGGCTCAGGAATTCTGGGAGTTGAAGTCTACGAGTCATAAAAGAGCCAAGGTTGCCTACCCCTGGTTTAGTACAATGGGTGAATATAGTGAACCTCTGCTGGAATTTTCTGTAGGATGCTTGGTCTTTCTTGATGACATTGCCTAGTTGGGTAATGAAACACCTGCAAGCAAAACTCAGAAAGCACCAAGAACCTCACAATTCAACCCTGAGCTACAAATATTTTTATTGGTCTCTCTCTCTAGATCAGTGGTTCTCAACCTGTGGGTCGGGACCCCATTTGGGGTCGAACGACCATTTCACGGGGGTCGCCAAACAAGGCTGTCCACCATTTTCCCCCCTTTTCTTTGGCCACGCCCCTGGCACCCGGTGATGTATAAGTGGTTGGGGGTCACCACAACATGGGGAACTGTATTATGGGGCCGCGGCATTAGAAAGGTTGAGAACCACTGCTCTAGATTAATATTAGACAACAATCAAGCAGTAAACAACAGTCTCATCAAGGCAGCACAAAGAACACTTCCACCAACACTGACAGGGTAAGCTATTAGTATATAAATGGCAAGCAACATCTCTCCCTTCTTGCACTGATGATGTAACCTGGACGGGTCTTGAAATGTTTGCAAGAAAACCACCAACTAAGAGCACACCAAGGACCCCACAATTCTCCTCCCCCTCCTCCTCCACAGCTCTCTCCCTTCTAGCACTGATGATGTCACCTAGTTGGGTAATGAAATGTCTGCAGGAAAACAATCAAGCTCAGAGAGCACCAAGAATCCCCCAGCTCTCCTCCTTCTCCTCCTCCATCCTCCTCTTCCTCTCCACACACCTCTCTCCCTTCTAGCACTGATGATGTCACCTAGTTGGGTAATGAAACGTCTGCAGGAAAACAATCAAGCTCACAGAGCACTAAGGTCCCACAATCCTCCTCCTCCTGTCCAAACACCCCACTTCCTTCTTGCATGCTAACTGATGATGTTACCTAGTTGGGTCACGAAACATCTGCAAAGAAACATCCAAGCTCAGAGAGCACCAAGGACTCCACAGTCCAACCTGGAGCTACAAATATTCCCCTCTCACCAAACCAGTTGTATCTGTCTAAACAGTGAGCAAAACCCACTCTCTTCTAGTGCTGATGATGTTGCCTAGTTGGGTCATGAAACGTCTGCAAGGATGCAACCTAGTTCAGAGAGCACCCAAAATCTCACTATTCAACCAAGAGCTACAAATATTCTCTAGTAAAAAAAAAAAAGCTCTTAACATACAGCCTGCATTCTACTTCAAGCCTCTGTTTCTGTAAAAAAAGATTATCTGACAGGACTCTGCATTATCCGGTTAGGGTCCTATTAATTTCCAAGTGTCTGAAATTAAAAGTGAGAGGTCAAGAGGTTTCTGAGAAAATAAGTCTTCTGTTCCATCCTCACGTTCTCCTACATGGAAGTGTTATCAGAGTCGACTCACAGTTTCAAGATATGACGTATGATTTGCTCTGGAATAAGACGTTTCTGGCACAGGTTTGCAGCGTTCCACAAAACGGCCTCGCAGATGACGCCATCTTGGAAACGCCTCAGCTCTGACTTCTCTCCCCAGAATTGCCGAAACTCCACGGCCTACAGGAACAGACATAAGAGAGGTATATTCCTCCCCCATTTGGTGTGTTATCCTTCAACAACTACGAGGCAATTCAAGTATTTTAACAATTAGAGATTCCATTGGGTCTATAACAGAATAACAGAGTTGGAAGGGACATTGGAGGTCTTCTAATCCAACTCCTTACTCAAGCAGGAGACCCTATACCAGGGATAGGCAACCTTGGCTCTTTTATGACTCGTGGACTTCAATTCCCAGAATTCCTGAGCCAGCCACGCTGAGGGAAAAGGGAGAATTTTTCAAGCTGAGTCATGCTGGCTCAGGAATTCTGGGAGTTGAAGTCCACAAGGCATAAAAGAACCAAGGTTGCCTACCCATGGCCTAGGAGGCTCACCGCTTAGAACAGGAGACCCTATCCCAGGGGTAGGCAACCTTGGCTCTTTTATGACTCATGGACTTCAACTCCCAGGATTCCTGAGCCAGCCATGCTGAGAGGAAAAGGAGTTTCCAAGCTGAGCCATGCTGGCTCAGGAATTCTGGGAGTTGAAGTCCACGAGTCATAAAAGAGCCAATGTTGCCTACCCCTGACCTATACCATTTCAGACAAATGGCTGTCCAGTGTCTTCCGAAAAACCTCCAGTGATGGACCATCCACAATCTCTGGAGGTAAGCCATTGCATTGATTAATTAATAGAATAACAGGGTTGCAAGGGACCTTGGAGGTCATCTAGTTCAACCCTTTGCTCAACCAGGAGACCTTATACCAGGGGTAGGCAGCCTTGGCTTTTTTATGACTTGTGGACTTCAACTCCCAGAATTCCTGAGTCAGCATGGCTGGCTCAGGAATTCTGGGTATTGAAGTCCACAAGTCATAAAAGAGCCAAAGTTGCCTACCCCTGCCCTATATCATTCAGGACAGTCTCTTCTTAAAAACCTCCTGTGTTGGAGCATTCACAACTTCTGGAGGCAGGTTGTTCCACTGGTTAATTGTTCTAACTGTCAGGAAATTTCTCCTTAGTTCTAGGTTGCTTCTCTCCTTGGTTAGTTTCCATCCATCCATCATCATCATCATCAATATTATTATTGTCAGATCTAGCACTGGCTGAAGATTTTTGACCCACAGAGAAGAGATAGTAATCAGCAGCCTAACCTGGTTCTCACCTCCTCTTTATGGCCTTCAGGTCCTCGCTCCAAAACACTGGTTGCGAAGTCAAGATTTAGCAACAGTCCGAAGGATAAGGAACCGACGTCTTTGTGCTTTGGGGGATCCACATGGATCGGCCACTGGAACAAAATAATACAGCAAGAGAAAAATTAGCGAAGACAGCTAGGAAAAAACAAGAAGCACCTACCAAGTGGGCCTCAAATAGGAGCTTTTGAGGATTGCACTGTCACCTTCAGACTGGGGATATGGCGAGGATGACAATTTGTCTGAAATGGTATAGTGTTTCCTGCCTGAGCAGGGGGTTGGACTAGAAGATCTCCAAGCTCCCTTCCAACTCTGTTATTCTATTCTATTCTATTCTATTTATTTTCTATTCTATTCTTGTTCATTCTATATTCTATTCTATTCTATTCTTGTTCATTCTATATTCTATTCTATTCTTGTTCATTCTATATTCTATTCTATTCTATTCTATTCTTGTTCATTCTATATTCTATTCTATTCTATTCTTGTTCATTCTATATTCTATTCTATTCTATTCTTGTTCATTCTATATTCTATTCTATTCTTGTTCATTCTATATTCTATTCTATTCTTGTTCATTCTATATTCTATTCTATTCTATTCTTGTTCATTCTATACTCTATTCTATTCTATTCTATTCTTGTTCATTCTATATTCTATTCTATTCTTGTTCATTCTATATTCTATTCTATTCTATTCTTGTTCATTCTATATTCTATTCTATTCTATTCCTCCATATTCTATTCTATTCCTCCATATTCTATTCTATTCTATTCTGGTCTGGTCTAATTCCACTCCATTTTTATTCCTTCACTACCCTATTCCTATTCATTCTATTCCTATTCTATTCTATTCTATCCTATTCCTATTCTATTGTAGTCTAATTCCATTCCATTCTTATTCCTACCCTACCCTATTCCTATTCTAGTTCATTCTATTCCTATTCTATTCTATTCCTATTCTATTTCTATTCTATTGTATTCTATTCCTAGTCTATTCTATTCCATTCTCGTTCTCCTATTCTATTCTATCTATTCTAATCCTATTCCTAGTCTAATTCCATTCTTATTCCTAGCCTACCCTATTCCAATTCATTCTATTCCTATTCTATTCTATTTCTACTCTGTTGTATTCTATTCCCATTCTCTATTCTATTCTATTCCTATTCCTAGCCTAATTCCATTCCATTTTTATTCCTACCCTACCCTATTCCAGTCCATTCTATTCCTATTCTATTCTATTATTCTATTCTTATCCCTATCCTACCCTATTCCAGTCCAGTCCATTGTAGTCCTATTCCATTCCATAACTTGCAAAGTAAAGTTCAATATAATATTCTGAATCCTTAGAAGCCAGGAGCTTTGTCGCTAAGTGAATCTGGCTTCCCCATTGTCTTTGTCACATGACCCCGGGGCAATGCAACCGTCATAAATACGAGTCACTTGCCAAGCGTCTGAATTTTGATCACGTGATGTCGCGGGTCGTAAATGTGAAAACCGGCCGGTCCCAGGTCACTTTTTCAGTGCCGCTGCAATTTCAAATGGTCACTAAAATGAACGGTCGTTAAGTCGAGGGCTACCTGCATGTGTGATCTTGTGACAGTTTGGCACTGATAGACGGCCAATGTGTGAAGGGCCACGGATTAAGTGACAATTAAAAGGACCACACAATCCTAAGCTCTGGGTTCTTTCAGCAGGCCGGGAAAATAAGTTTTTGCTGAAGTTACCGGATGGCTCTGAGGCAATTGATGAGCCAGGAGAACCAGCCGGCGGGCCAGTCCGCGCTCCAGGAGGCTGAGGAAGAATGGGAGGACGGCAGCCACGTAACTCCCACCCCGGTCCATCAACGCGTTGAGCAGCTGCATCTGCTTGCAAGCCGTCTGGAGTTTGGAGACGTGACGGAGGCTGAAGGACAGGAGGAGAGCCATGAGCGACACGCAGGAAGCTTCTCACAGAACAAATAGAGGAGCAGCTTGGAGGGCGAGAGGGCTCACAAGGAAGCAAATTAAAAATCTGTGTTAAGCAAAACATAGATCTATAGATCTGTCTAGATCTGGGTCTGTAGACCTGCAGTCTTCGAGAAGTCTTAGGCTTCAACTCCTAGAATCCCCAAGGAGCGTGACCTTTTTATCACCAGAAAAAATAGCCCATTTTTTTCACTTTCTCTATTATTGATCTCTCCTACCTGTTTGTTTGTCTATCTCTATCTATCTTCCTATCTATCTGCCTGCCTTTCATCTATCTATCTATCTATCTATCTATCTATCTATCTATCTATCTATCTATCTATCATCTATCTATTATCTATCTTTACCTATCTACCTTTCTATATATCCATCCATCTGTATCTTACCTATCTATCTATCTATCTATCTATCTATCTATCTATCTATCTATCTATCTATCTTCCCCCCTCCCCCCCTCTGTATATATGTCTTTTTTTTGTAAAAAAAATTATTTTCAATTTTACAATACATTACATTCATAAAAATACTTCAGATAAAAAATAAAACAAATTGATACACACAACTTTCGATATTGCTCACCCATTTCCCCCCAAACCGCATCCACCCTCTAACCAACTTGCCTCTTCTTCCTCTTCCTCACTCTCCCCCTCTCCTCCTTCTCCTCAACCTTCCTACTTGCTTCTCCCCTTCTTCTATCTTCTGGGAGTTGAAGTCCACGAGTCATAAAAGAGCAGTATATATGTCTTTAATCAATATATATATCCTTCCATTTCTATATTCCTACCTTTCATCCATCCATCCATCCATTATCTATCTATCTTATCTACCTACCTACCTACCTTTCATCTTTCTATATATCCATCCATCTCTCCTACTATCTATCTCTTCTATCTATCTATCTATCTATCTATCTATCTATCTATCTATCTATCTATCTATCTGTATCTACCTATCTACCTACCTATTATCTATCTCTTTACCTTTCTGTATATCCATCTCTGTCTTATCTTCCTACTATCTATCTATCTATCTATCTATCTATCTATCTATCTATCTATCTATCTATCTTCCTATCTCTCTCTCTCTGTATATACATATATATATTCTTCCATCTTTATCTTCCTTCCTACCTACTATCTATCTATCTATCTATCTATCTATCTATCTATCTATCTATCTATCATTCAATCTCTATGCTTTCTTTCCCCCGCCTTTCAAACCTTGCAAGCCCTCCAAACACTTCTCTCCAACAGCATGGACTAGAAACTTTGGTTTGTTTGTTTTAAATGGTGGGAGGAAAGATAATATCCTTTTTTTTTTTTTTTGCCCCACGCCTGCCTGCCTTGATAACCATGGAAAACAACCCGTCCCACCGTGCCAGCCATTCTTTTGCGAGCCACCTACTGAAAGACATGATCAAAGGTCCGGATCAGAGGCTTGGGGGTCATAAAAAGCAACTGAAACCCATCCACTGTTTTGTCATCCAGAACCTCCATCGACTGCCTAGCTTCAAACTGGACCTAAAGAAGAACAAAAACCACCTATGTGTTAGTGAGTATGGGGGAGTCCAAGACGTACGACCATAACTGAGCCCAACATTTTTGTTGCTAAGTCAGATGTTTATTAAATGCAATTTTGCCCCATCTTATGGCTTTTCTTGTCCCAGTATTAAGGGAATTACTGCAGCAATTCTGTGACACTGCAACGGTCATAAATAGGAGTCGGTGGTCGAGCATCTGAATTTTGATCACGTGACCACGGGGATGCTGCAATGTTCTAACTCACATTTTTCAGTGCCATTGTAACTCCGAACGGTCACTAAGTGAAGTGTAGTAAGTCGAAGACTGTCTGTACACAGGCTTCTTGGCTGAAGGCAGAGCATTTTTTCTTCTCTGAAGGCATCTTTGCAGCCATCACTTTGGACCAGACTAGCTCAGCAGCAATTAACAATCCCTTATGAAATTGTACAGGTAGTCCTTAACTTACAACCATTCATTTAGTGACCATTCAAAATTACAAGGGCACTAAAAAAAAGTGACGTGATCGTTTTTCACACTTACAACCGTGGCAGCATGTTTGGTCATGTGATCAAAATTCAGACACCCAGCAACTGACTCATATTTATGATGGTCGCAGCAGCCTGGGGGGGGGGGTCCACATCTTCTCTTTTTGTGACCTTCGGACAAGCAAAGAGTCAGCATGGAAGCCAGGTTCACTTCACAACAGTGTGACTAACTTAACAACTGTGGCAAGAAAGGCCATGAAATGGGGCAAAACTCACTTTACAAACGTCTCACTTTTAGCAAACGTTGGGCTAAGTTGCAGTCGTAAGTCGAGGGCAATGTTGTAGACCAATCTAGTTCTGTAATGGGATCCAACCTCAGGATGGATTGTGGAGTCTTTCAAACTCTCCACTTAGCAGTTACTACCGTGTTTGCCTGAAAATAAGACCAGGTCTTATTTATATATATTTTTGGGGCCCCCAAAAGAGGCACCAGGTCTTATTTCCGGGGTAGGCCTTACCTCACCTCTGGCAACGACAGCCCCACCCAGCCAGTCCACTTTTTCTGGGGACGAAGTTCTGCAGCTGCATTCGGGCCTGCATTTCACAGTCAGGCGAAATGGATTCAACATCTCAGTCCTCAGCTGCAGTTCTCTTGCAGAACCGAGCTATGGCTTGAATCCATAGCTCGGTCCTCAGCTAAAGTGGACTGCGAAATGCAGGCCTGGCTGCAGAAGACGCTGCAGAAGAAGTGGGCCAGCAAGGCCTGGCTACAAGGTAAATGGGTGTGTGGCGGGTGGGGTAGCTGTCTGCACCCCACCCCTGCTTGATTTTTAGGTGTGTGCCTTGCCCCAAAATTAGGGCTTGTTTTTGGGATAGGGCTTATATTAGGCCCACCCTCAAAAATCAAGCTAGGGCTTATTATTGGTGTAGGCCAGGGGTAGGCAACCTTGGCTCTTTTATGACTCGTGGACTTCAACTTCCAGAATTCCTGAGCCAGCCATGCTGAGGGGAAAGGGAGAGGTTTCCAAGCTGAGCCATGCTGGCTCAGGAATTCTGGGAGTTGAAGTCCACGAGTCATAAAAGAGCCAAGGTTGCCTACTCCTGGTCTAGTCTAACGAAGAGAAGGATGAGGGGTGACAGGATAGCAGCCTTCCAGTATTTGAGGGCCTGCCACAAAGAAGAGAGAGTCAATCTTGGCTCTTTTATGACTCGTGGACTTCAACTCCCAGAATTCCTGAGCCAGACACACTGAGAGGAAAGGGAGAGGTTTCCAAGTTTATCCATGCTGGCTGAGGAATTCTGGGAGTTGAAGTCCACGAGTCATAAAAGAGCCAAGGCTGCCTACCCGTGGCGTAGGCCTTACTTTAGGGGAAACACAGTACCTCCTGGTAACCTACTCCATGCATAACCTCCCCCTTCCATATTTACCTGCTTGTAAGTGTTGGCAGTCATATCTGCACACAGGTTCACCAATCCAGAAGAGTCCACAAACACCACTTGAAACGCTTGGTGGAAGTCAGTCAGGGAAGGCTAAAAGAAAATTAAGAACTTCAAGACTGCACAGACGGTCTTCGTTAAAATACGAGCAGCAGCTTCCAAGCAACAAAGCCGTCATTCAGGAGAACTGCATCTCATGCTCACAGCAAAACAAAGGCTGGCACAAAGGACTGCCCTCCACTTCATATCTCCGTTATGAATTCCACTGATGCCATGATTAAGATTCAGTCTCTGAATTCAAGGCAAAGTCTATAATAATGTTTCCAATTTCAGCCAACAACAGCCAGGCCCAACAGAGTCTTCCTGGCCCAGGTCATTCCAGATGCTTCCAAGATTATAGAAAAAGTTGAATTTCTCCACTTCCGTAACATACTTTAACTACAATGCCACGGGTTGCCCCACATTAACTTACAATAGCATTAGCACACAGACTGAACCAAGCCTCAACTTTAATGCTAACGTGCTCCCTATTCAAAAGGGAGATTCTCATCCGATGGAATAATAAGCTTAAAATGTGATTTTTCCATCTTAATCCAGCAGTAAATACTTCAAAGGTCTCTCTATTACCAGACTGGGCTCTGTGTCTTTTGACAGGCTGATTCCAGACGTAGTGAGATCTGTAGTAGCTGGGAAGGAAGAATTAAAAAGAGATTAATCGATTTGGACAGGAGTCCCCATCTTATATCCTTATGCAGGTAGTCCTCGACTTACGTCCATCAACTGAGGCCAAAATGTCTGTTGCTGAGACAGTTATTGAGCTTTGCCCCATTTTACGACCTTTCTTGCCACAGTTGTTAAGTGAATCACTACGGCTGTTAAGTGGATCCGGCTTCCCCATTGACTTTGCGTGTCAGAAGGTCGCAAAAGGGGATCACGTGACTCCAGGACACTGCAACCATCATAAGTACAGGTCAGTTGCCAAGTGTCTGAATTTTAATCACGTGATCCTGGAGATGCTACAATGGTCACAAGTGTGAAAAACGGTCGCAAATCATTTTTTAAAGTATCACTGTAACTTTGAGCAGCCGCTAAATGAACTGTTGTAAGTTGAGAACTACCTGTAATGAACAAACCACTGGGCCACAAGTTCCATACATCATGGGGATGATGGGAATTAACTTTGGTGGAAGAATGTACATCTTGAAGGATCTCTTTACTCCCAAGCTTATTGGGATCCCGGTAATAATTGGAAGGTGAAGTGCATAAAGTGGGTCCAATCATCAGGCTGGCTTTGAAATGCAGAGTTTAAGGGCTGCTTAACTGTGATGTTTTTCTTGGATGGAGCGTATGATAATCTATAGCCATTTCCAGCTGCAAACTGGAAGGACCACCATGGCTTTTAAAAGTATATTTAAAAGTACATTTACTTTTTAAAGCAAGGATAGATATAAAAAAGAGAGAGTGAAAGGGAGGGAGGGAGGGAGGGAGGGAGGGAGAAAGGAAGGGGGGGAAGGAAGGAAAGACGGAAGGGAGGGAGGGAGGGACAGGTAGGAGGGGAAAAATGAAAGGAAGGAAGGATAGGAAAGTCAGAAGGAAGGGAGGGAGGGAAGGAGGGAGGGAGGGGGAAAGGAAAGAAGAAAGGAAAGAAAAGGAAAGACAGAAGGGAAGGAGGGAGGGAGGAAGGGACAGGTAGGAGGGGAAAGATGAAAGGAAGGAAGGATAGGGAAGTCAGAAGAAAGGGAGGGTGGAAAGGAAGGAAGGAAGGAGGGGAAGGAAGGAAAGACAGAAGGGACAGGAAGGGAGGAAGGAAGGAAAAGGAAAGAAAGGGAGGGAGGGACAGGTAGGAGGGGAAAAATGAAAAGAAGGAAGGATAGGAAAGTCAGAAGGAAGGGAGGGAGGGAAGGAGGGAGGGAGGGGGGAAAGAAAGGAAGGGAGGAAGGAAGGAAAGAAAAGACAGAAGGAAAGGAGGGAGGGAGGAAGAAACAGGTAAGAGGGGAAAGATGAAAGGAAGGATAGGAAAGTCAGAAGGAAGAAAGGGAGGGAAGGGGAAAGGAAGGGAGGAAGGGAGGAAGGAAAGAAAAGGAAAGACAGAAGGGAAGGAGGGAGGGAGGAAGAGATAGGTAGAAGGGGAAAGATGAAAGGAAGGATAGGAAAGTCAGAAGGAAGGAAGGGAGGGAAGGAGGGGAAGGAAGGAAAGACAAAAGGGACAGGAAGGGAGGGAGGGAGGGACAGGTAGGAGGGGAAAGATGAAAGGAAGGAAAGAGGAAAGTTAGAAGAAAGGGAGGGAAGGAGGGAGGAAGGAAAAGGAAAGACAGAAGGGAGGGAGGGAGGAAGAAAGGAAGGAAGGGACAGGTAGGAGAGAAAAGATGAAAGGAAGGAAGGATAGGAAAGTCAGAAGGGAGGAAGGGAGGGAAGGAGGGAAGGAAGGAAGGACCACAGCTAGTCACACTCCTCTGAACTACATTATATCTGCCAAAGGATTTGTTTCTCTAGAGTCCCATGTAGCTTCTTTATTCTTACATTTAGCTATTTTCCTGCTGCACCTTCTTACATGGAGAATCTTAGCATTTCAGAGAAAATTGCATACTCCTTCCCAGAGGGAAAACAATATTAAAAAAAGAACACTCATTCCTCCCGCCTTGCTGACTCCATCTGAGATTTGGCCCCACGTCTGAACAGCTGCAGATCAGACCCAAAGAATCCAGAGTTTCCCATTTAGCGTCAGGCACCGGTTTGGTCTGAACAGCCTCCCGGCTGAACATCACAACGTTTCTGGCAACTCACCTAAGAAATGGAGAGCGTTGCGCAGCACCTGGTACCCACTCATCATTTTGCTGATCTTGTGAGTGGCCAAGAGGTGTCCCACCAGCATGGATGCAATGAAGCCGTTGAAACATCCCAGACCCTGAAAGAAAGTGAAAAGTCAACACAAACGCACACCTTCCCCTCCCCGGCCAAAAATGCATAGAAAGAACTGGGACCTAATGCTTGTGTATAGTACAACTTGTTTGCAAAGAACACAAACTGATCTCAACTTTTGACATGCAGATCACATCTTCCCTGTCTACAATTCCTCATCCAGAGTAGCTGCCAAAAAAGCCAACACAGTGTTGGGCTGCATTAACAGAGGGATAGAATCAAGATCAGGTGAAGTGTTAATACCACTTTACAAGGCCTTGGTAAGGCCACACTTGGAATACTGCATCCAGTTTCGGTCACCACAATGTAAAAAAGATGTTGAGACTCTAGAAAGAGTAAAGAGAAGAGCAACAAAGATGATTAGGAGACTGGAGGCTAAAACTTATAAGGAACGGTTGCTGGAATTGGGTATGTCTAGTTTAATGAAGAGAAGGAGGAGGGGGGACATGATAGCAGTGTTCCAATATCTCAGGGGCTGCCTCAAAGAAGAGGGAGTCAAGCTATTCTCCAAGGCGCCTGAAGGCAGGACGAGAAGCAACGGATGGAAACTCATCAAGGAGAGAAGCAACCTAGAACTGAGGAGAAACTTCCTGACAGTTAGAACAATTAACCAGTGGAACAACCTGCCTCCAGAAGCAGTGAATGCTCCAACACTAGAAGTTTTTAAGAAGAGACTGGACAGCCATTTGTCTGAAACGGTAAAGGGTTTCCTGCCTGAGCAGGGTGTTGGACTAGATGACCTCCAAGGTCCCTTCCAACTTTATTATTGTTGTTGTTGTTATTAGTGGGGTCCCTGATGTTTGGCTGCAGGCATTTCATTACCCAACTAGGACACATCATCAGTGCTTGGAGGGAGTGGAGACAGGTCAAATCACTTCTCTATAAACAGAGAGCAAATCCCGCTCCTTTCTAGCACTGATGATGTTACCTAGTTGGGTCATGAAACGTCTGCAAGAAAATAACCCAGCTCCAAGAGCACCAAGGACCACACAGTCCTCCTCCTCCTCTTCCTGCCCCCTCCCTCCATCTTTCCTTTCTCCTTCCTCCTGCAGCCGTTCTTCATATGTTTTAGTCCCCAGGCCTTGGATCACCTTAGTTGCTCTTCTCTGAACTTTTCCCAAGGTCTCAACATCTGTTTTTGTAGTGTGGTGACCTGAACTGGTTCACAAGGTTGATGCTGCATGGAACAAAACTGTGACTGAATCTAGATCAGTGGTTTTCAACCTGTGAGTCGGGACCCCATTTGGGGTCGAATGACCATTTCACGGGGGTCACCAAACAACGCAGTCCGCCATTTTTTCCCCCCTTTTCCTTAGCTGTGCTACTCCCTTTTATTCTATTGGCTTTTGAAAGCCAATAGAATAGACTCTCTTGAATAGAGTCTAATTCTATTGGCTTTCAAAAATCAATAGGAATTGTCCAGGCTGTCTCTGCCCTGCTGAGCCCGCCAAAAGTCCCATTCTGCAAACGGTGCTGCACCAGTTGAGTAGTCCTTGACTTACGACCGGTTGAGTAGTCCTCGACTTACGACTGGTTGGGGGTCGCGGCATTAAAAATGTTGAGAACCACTGATCTAGATGTTCTGCTTCAGATACCACGAACCCCCCCCTCTCTCCTCTCAGCAGCTAACAAGGAAAACAGGTTGTGAAGAGGACGTGTAGCGTCCCAGACAAGACTTCGTGTTGGAAGAAACCTCCAGACTTCTGTGGGTTGACCGAGTCAGCCGGATTACCTGATAGAGCTCTCGCTGGCGGAGCCAAACTTTGAGGAGGGCCATCCCATCTTGGAAACCTCGGAAGGCGCTGGCGGCCTCGGAGAGGTAGAGCAGGTTGGTCTCCATCACCAGGTCCCACAAAATGGAGTTGTTGTAATGGGGTGTGGGGGGTTCAGCTACTCCTGGAAAGAAGCAAAGAGGGATGGCATGCCGGTGACCATCTCACAAGGACAAGGAGGAGAAAGAAGGCTTCAGACCAACTTCCTGCCTCGGTGGAGGAAGTCAGCAGCAACAGCACGCAAAACAAATGCAAGATGAGATACAGGGGAGTCCTCAACTTACAACCGTTCATTTAGTGACCGTTCGAAGTTACACCAGCACTGAGAAGTGACTTATGATCGTTTTTCACCCTTATGACCGTTGCAGCATCTCCGGGGTCAAAATTCGGCCGCTTGGCAACTGGTTCATATTTATGACGGTCGCAGTGTCCCGGGGTCACGTGATTCCCCCTTTTTGTGACCTTCTGACCCAGCAAAGTCAGTGGGGGAAAGGCAGATTCACTTAACGACCGTATTATTAACAACTGTGGCAAGAAAAATCGTAAAATGAGGAAAAACTCAATCTCTTGCTTAGCAACGGAATGTTTGGGCTCTATTGTGGTCATGAGTCAAGGATTATGGCAATCTAAAGGCAATCTAAAAATTATAGGGTTATCAGTGCGTGTAACATAGATGATGATGATGATAATAATAATAATAATAATAATAATAATAGTAGTAGTAGTGAAGTTGGAAGGGAACTTGGAGGTCATCTAGCCCAACCCCCTGCTCAGGTAGGAAACTCTATACCATTTCGGACAAATGGCTGTCCAGTCTCTTCTTAAAAACCTCCAGTGTTGGAGCATTCAACGCTTCTGGAGGCAGGTTGTTCCATTGGTTAATTGTTCTAATGGTCAGGAAGTTTCTCCTTAGTTCTAGGTTGCCTCTCTCTTTGGTTAGTTTCCATCTGTTGTTTCTTGTCCTGCCTTCAGGTACTTTGGATAATGTCCCCCCTTGTCCTTCTCTTCGTTAAACTAGACATACCCAATTCCAGCAACCGTTCCTTATATGCTTTAGCCTCCAGTCCCCTAATCATCTTTGTTGCTCTTCTCTGTACTCTTTCTAGAGTCTCAACATCTTTTTTACAGCGCGGTATGCAGTATTCCAAGATGTCCAGATGTGTGTGTGGACAAGTTTATCAATCTTGCTGTCAAGCAAAATCAAGCTTTTAATAGCGAGTGCCACACAAAGTGCACTAACCAAACAGGTGGTAAGACAATAGGGGAACTCAGGCACCACACAGGTTATGTAGAAAGTAAACACAGGGTCAATCATAAAGGACTCAAATGTCTATACACCAATGCACAGAGTATGAACAGCAAGCAGGGTGAACTAGAAATTCAGGTAAATGAGGGCAAATAGGATATTGTTGCCATAACAGAAACACGGTGGGATGAAACCCACAAATGGAACACACAGCTAGAGGGATTTAAATTATTTAAAAGGAACAGACCAAATAAAAGAGGAGGTGGAGTTGCTCTGTATATAAGAAATAACTACCTTTCTACAGAAATAGAGCACAACAATGATGAAAACTGTCTTGAATGCATTTGGGTCAATATAAAAGGGGGGAAAAATGACATTGCCATAGGTGTGTATATATAGGCCACCCAACCAAACAGAGGAAATAGATGAACTTTTTGCTAGTCAGCTAACTAAGGTATGTAGGAAGCACATCTCCTGATAGTGAGAACAATTAACCAGTGGAACAACCTGCCTCCGGAAGTGGTGAATGCTGCAACACTGGGAGTTTTTAAGAAGAGACTGGACAGCCATTTGTCTGAAATGGTATAGGGTTTCCTGCCTGAGCAGGGGGTTGGACTAGATGACCTCCAAGGTCCCTTCCACCACCACCACCACCACCGTCATTATTATTATCTGCAATCATATGTGGGCAGGTATTCCGATGTTTCAATTCAATATCCTACTTTTAGATGAACTGAAGACTCTTACATTGCTTTAAAGCCAGTCTAACCCCTTAATTCACTGTTCTTCAACTATGGCAACTTTAAGATGGGTGGACTTCAATTCCCAGAATTCCCCAGGCAGAATTCTGGGAGCTGAAGTCCACCCATCTTAAAATTGTCCAGGCTGAGAAACGCCACCAAGTTTACCTGTCACAGGTGAGTCCTTCTCCGTGAACCAAGCAGTACGGATGTTGTTTTTGCAGGGGTGCAAACGGATGGGCCTGAAAACTCCAGGGGCTGGGCAGGCATGGAGGTGAACTGTTACCATCTTTGCATCCTTCCCTGCCACAACCCGGGAGACAGATGGGGAGGAAAGAGAAGAGAATAAAACAGGAGAATTAGCAATGTGGATGTTGTTCAAAATATACTTGTTACACACAAACACACACAGAGAGAGACAAAATCAGAATCCTGGCTGTTTGGCTTTATCTGAAAATAAGCTTTTAAAAGCCCCAAATGATGGGAATCAATCCTACTGTTGGGAAGTCTCAGACGTTAAGCAGGATGCGCCCTGGTTGGCACTTGGATGGGGGCCAGGTTGATATGGATGGATGGATGGATGGATGGATGGATGGATGGGTCGGAAGGAAGGAGACAAGAAGGAAGAGTCGGAAGGGAGGGGAAGAAAGGGAGAAAGGGAAGGAGGGAAGAAACGAACGAAGGAGTCAGGAAGGGAGAAGGGAAAGGAGGGGAGGGAAGGGAGGGAGTCAGAGGGAAGGGAGAGAGTCAGAGGGGAAGGGAGGGAGGGGGGAAGGAAAGGAGGGAAGGAGAGCAGGAAGGAAGAAGGGAAAGGAAGGAGGGAAGGAGGGAAGGAAGGAGACAAGAAGGAAGAGAGAGTCAAAAGGGAATGGGACAGGAAGGGAGAAGGGAAAGGAGGGGAGGCAAGGAGGGGGAGGGAAAGAAGGAGACAAGAAGGAAGAGAGAGTCAGAAGGGAAGAAAGGAACGAAGGAGTCAGGAAGGGAGAAGGGAAAGGAGGGGAGGGAAGGAAGGAGACAAGAAAGAAGAGAGAGTCAGAGGGGAAGGGAGGGAGGGGGGAAGGAAAGGAGGGAAGGAGAGGAAGGAAGAAGGGAAAGGAGGGGAGGGAAGGAGGGAAGGGAGGGAGTCAGAGGGAAGGGAGAGAGTCAGAGGGGAAGGGAGGGAGGGGGGAAGGAAAGGAGGGAAGGAGAGCAGGAAGGAAGAAGGAAAAGGAAGGAGGGAAGGAGGGAAAGAAGGAGACAAGAAAGAAGAGAGAGTCAGAAGGGAAGGGAAGGGAAAGGAAAGGAAGAAGGAAGGAAGGAAGGAAGGAAGGAAGGAAGGAAGGAAGGAAGGAAGGAAGGAAGGAAGGAAGGAAGGAAGGAAGGAAAGGGAAGGGAAGGGAAGGAAGTCCAAACAAGTCCTGGAAGAAGAGGACAGCAAACGTCTCCTCTAAATCTACCAGGAGAGCTGCCTGATTCCTCCGCTCAACAGCTCTTTCGCTTCCTCAGTTTTAGCAACAAGTGCGCAAAATGCTTTGCCCTCCCCACACACCCACACATGCACACCCACCACCCCCTTACCTTGTGGCTGGAGGAGCAGAAGGGGCTTCAAATGATTGCCGTTCGCGTAGGCAAAGGCCACACTCCCAAAGTGGTTCCTCTCGGCCAGGTGCTGGGCCAGGTGGGCCAGGTAGAGGGCCCTCTTGCGGTGGTAGCGCTGGTTGAGGTTGTCCTTCTCTTGGAAAACTTCCTAAGACAAAAACCACGTTACGGTTCGGGTAGTCCTCGACTTACAACAGCTCATTTAGTGACCATTCGAAGTGACAACGGCACTGAGAAAAGAAGCATTTTTCACACTTAACGACCACCGTGGCATGCCGTGGTCACGTGATCCAGATTCAGACGCTTGGCAACTGACTCACATTTATGACGGTCGCAGCGTCCCGGGATCATGTGATCCTCTTTTTGCGACCTTCCGACAAGCAGAGTCAAATGGGGAAGCCAGATTCACCGAACAACCCTGTTCCTCACTTAGCAGCTGCAGGGATTCACTGTGGCAAGAAAGGTCGTAAAAGGGAACAGAATTTGCAGGACAAAATGTCTCGCTTGGCAACCAAAAATTTGGGCTCCATTGCGGTCGTAAATTGAGGACCACCTGTACTGTTAAGCCACCCAGAGCTGCTTTGAAAAGGGAGATGGGTGTCATATACATTAAATAAATGGATTAAAATATGCCCTTGATGGATGCAGCTTGTATTAATAGAATAGAATAGAATAGAATAGAATAGAATAGAATAGAATAGAATAGAATAGAATAGAATAGAATAGAATAGAATAGAATAGAATATGGAATGGAATATAGCTGTGGTGGAGAACCTATGGCACGCGTGCCACAGGTGGCACGCAGAGCCCTCTCTGTGAGCACGCGCGCTGTTGCCCCAGGCCTTCAGTTGGGTTTTATAAAACTTTTTTCTTTAGGCCTCCGTCACCATGTGCAAAGAAAAAAAAAAAGGTTAAATCAATCAATTTTAACTTCTAGCCGGGAAAAAAAATCTCGCAAAGTTGGAATTGATTGATTGAACCCACCCAGTCTGCCATTACCATCGCAGCCATGCCCACCCAACGGGCTACACTCACCCAATGGGCCACGCCCACCCAGCACCCGACAATACATAAGTGGGTTTTGGGTTGCACTTTGGGCACTTGGTCTCTAAAAGGGTTCGCCATCACTGGAATATAGAATGAAATGGAATAGAATAGAATAGAGAATGGAATAGAATAGAGAATGGAATGGAATGGAACAGAACAGAACAGAATATGGAATGGAATATGGAATGCAATAGAATAGAGAATGGAATGGAAGAATAGAATAGTAGAATAGAATAGAATGGAATGGAAGGGAATGGAATATGGAATGGAATAGAGAATGGTATGGAATGGAATGGAAGAACAGAACAGAATAGAACAGAACAGAATATGGAATGGAAATGGAATGGAATAGAGAATGGAATAGAACAGAGAATGGAATGGAATAGAGAATGGAATGGAATGGAATGAAATGGAATAGAATAGAATAGAATAGAGAATGGAATGGAATGGAATAGAATAGAATAGAATAGAATAGAGAATGGGATGGAATAGAATACAGAATGGAATGGAATAGAGAATAGAATAGAACAGAATAGAAACAGGAATGGAATAGGAACAGGAATCGAATAGGAATCGAACAGAATAGAGCTGGAAGGGACCTTGGAGGTCTTCTAGTCCAGCCCCCTGCTCAAGCAGGAGAACCTATACCATCTCAGGCAGGTGAATGTCTAGCTTTAGTCTCTTCTTAAAAACCTCCAGCGATCGAGCGACCACGATTTCTGGGGGCAAGCTGTCCCACTCGTTGATCGTCCTCCCTGTCAGGAACGCATTCCATCACCACCAAAGGTTGCTCAAAGAGAAGGGAGTCTCTCTCCCCAGAGAATCAGCAGGCATCAGGGGCTTTTGCTTGAAGGCAGAGGTGGCTCTGGGGGGGGGGGGTGTCTAACTTTTCACTGGTAGCCCCCCCCAACTCTGCAACAACATTCCTGAGACCCCTTCAATGCCGCCGTTCTTGCCATTTTCATTCTCCCAAAACTATAGCTAGTCCTCGGCTTACGACCTCGATCCGAGACCAGCCTTCCTGTTCCTAAGTGAGACATTGGTTAAGTGAATTTTGCCCCACTTTACGACCTTTGTTGCCACAGCTTGTTGCCCGGGATGCTGCGACCGTCATAAATAGGAACCGGTTGCCAAGCAGCCAAATTTTGATCACATGACCACGGGGATGCTGCAACGGCCCTAAGTCCCTTTTTTCCCAATGATGTTGTTAACTGAACAGTCACTAAGCAAGCTGTTTGAATTAATGAATTAATTCAGCTGGCTAAGTTCCACTGTTTCAATGTTTTGCCCGCTGAAATAATTCGTCCTGGTATGTGTTTTATGAAACATCTTGCTTGAATTATACATTTTAATTATGTGTATCAGTTCTATCGATATTTCTCGACCTCAGCCACTTTTAAGACCCATGGAGCTAAATTCCCAGAATTCTCCAGCCGGTATGCTGATCTTTCCAAACAAGGGCTCACAAGAAGAGCACAGCACAGCCACAACCAACTTCAGGAGGTGTGTGAACGCGCTGGAGTGTTTCATTGCTGGATCTTGGGAAGACTTAGGAGCATAGCAAGGAAAATAAAAGACCAATGAGCCTGAAACAGCTCTTTATGTCCTAAGTGTTCTCCCAGTGTTACTGTCCTTTTATTATCAGTTTGGTCTAGGGGAGAAGGCACCAAACTGAAAAGCAAGAGAGTTCTAGTATACACCTTGGCATCAAAGGCAGTTGAGTGACTCAGGGCCAATCACCAGGAGACGGTGAATTCTAGTCCCAGCTGGGCATCAAAGGAAGCTGGGTGACTTTGGGCCAATCACCAGCAGATAGTGAGTTCTAGCACTGTCTTAGGCATCAAAGGCAGCTGGGTGACTTTGGGCCAATAAGCAGGAGTTGGTGAGTTCTAGTCCCAGCTTGGCATCAAAGGCAGCTGGGTGATTTTGGGCCAATCACCAGGAGATGGTGAGTTCTAGCACTGTCTTAGGCATCAAAGGCAGCTGGGTGACTTTGGGCCAATCACCAGGAGATGGTGAGTTCTAGTCCCAACTTGGCATCAAAGGCAGCTGGGTGACTTTGGGCCAATCACCAGAAGATGGTGAGTTCTAGCACTGTCTTAGGCATCAAAGGAAGCTGGGTGACTATGGGCCGATCACCAGGAGATGGTGAGTTCTAGCACTCTCTTAGGCATCAAAGGCAGCTGGTTGACTTTGGGCCAATCATCAGGAGATGGTGAGTTCTAGTCCCAGCTTGGCATCAAAGGCAGCTGGTTGACTTTGGGCCAATCACCAGGAGATGGTGAGTTCTAGCACTCTCTTAGGCACCAAAGGCAGCTGGGTGACTTTGGGCCAATCATCAAGAGATGGTGAGTTCTAGTCCCAATTTAGACATGAAGGCGGGGCTGGATAACTTTGGGCCAGTCTCTCTCTCTCTCTCTCTCTCTCTCTCTCTCTCTCTCTCTCTCTCTCTCCCTCTTTCTCTCTCAACCTAACCCACCTCACAGGGTTGTTGTGATGGGGAAAATAGGAGGAGGAAGGAGTTATGTTCGTAAAATAAAGTAAATTAAAAGGGAGCCTCCATTTCTGCCCGGGCCCGCTCACCTTGGGCATGGTCACTGCAACGTCCACATTCACCTCCGGCTTGATACAGGTGCCCAGCAGGTAACTTCCCACCACCTTTACCTCTGCTGGGGGCAGAAAATGGAACTTGCCCTTCACCTTGAAAGGAACCTGCAGGATAGGGACCTTCACTCCCTTGGGGAGCCACGACTGGTCAGTGATCTGAAAGAAAAGAAGGTGGCGCAGCAGTTAGAGTGCAGTACTGCAGGCCACTTTAGCTGACTGTGTTCAGCAGGTCAGTGGTTCAAATCTCACCGGCTCAAGGTTGACTCAGCCTTCCATCCTTCCGGGGTAGGTAAAATGAGGACCCAGATTGTTGGGGGCAATGTAAATATATATATATATATACATTGCCTACTGGTGTACACCGCTTAGAGAGTGCTTGCACTTAAAGCGGTATATAAGTCTCATAAATAAATAAATAAATAAATAAATTCACCCTTTGATCCCCGAATCAGGCTGAGGTTCAGGGGGCCCAAACCAAAGAACCCCAGAAACTCAGAAAATACAAGCAGTCCTCAACTTACGACCACAACTGAGCCCCAAATTTCTGCTGCTAAGCAAGACAGTGGTTGAGTTTTGCTCCGTTTTACTATCTGTTTTTGCCGAGTTAAATCCCTGCACTGGTTAAGCTAGGAACACGGTCGTTAAATGAATCAGACCTCCCCATTGACTTTGTTTGTCAGAAACTCACTACAGGGGATCACACGACCCCGGGACACTGCAACCGTCATAAACAGGAATCAGTTGCAAGCATCAGAATTTGGCAGGGAGGCTGCAATGGTCATTAAGCGTGAAAAACAGTCATAGGTCACTTCTTTCATTGCAGCTTCAAACGGTCACTAAATATGAACTGCTGTAAGTTGAGGACTGCTTGTGCTGGTTTGGGGATCCTCCTTTTGATCCCACAATAGGAAGGTCCATGCTAAGTCAAAGGAAGCTGTATTTCTATTCAGGCATTCAAAATTCAATATATTATCGCAATGAGATTGGAGACCCCTCACCCCAACTGTACCAGACCTAGGAAGAGTGTGGCGTGTCCTGCACCCTCACCTGTCCAAATTAGTACAAAATGTTCTTCTAAGAGGGGATTTTATATTGTCAATTACAGCAGGGCTTTTCAATCAGTGGCACGGGTACCACCTGTGGTACATTGGCACCTGGCAGGTGGTACGTGACCATCCTAGAAAAGTGGTAGCGGGGGAGGGAAATGAGCTGAACTAGTGGCAGCATCGCACAAGCCTGAGCGAGAGATGGCTGGAGCTGCAGGGCTGTTAGGGCTCAACGGAAACGCCAGGATCAGTGCCAGGCTCCAGCTGGAGCTCGGCGCTGATCCTGGTGCTTCTGCTGAGCCCTGAAGAAGCACCAATCAGCTGGAGCTCGGCGCTGATCCTGGCGCTTCCGCTGAGCCCAGAAGAAGCGCCGATCAGCTGGAATGTTGCAGCATCTCCAGGGTCTTGTGATTTACATTCAGATGCTTGGCAACTGATTCATATTTATGATAGTCACAGTGTCCCAGGGTCATGTGAAGTGACCAAAACCTTTTGCAACCACCCAGCAGATGGGAGGGGGATAAAAACCAAACACCCCCCACCCCTGCTTCCAATCCTCAACAGAAATGCTCACAACAATGAAAACCTCGGACAGAAGGAAGAGCGCGGCCGGGTGGGCAGGCAGGTGTCTTGCTCAGCTGTGGCTTGGGGGGCACTTTTTTCAGTGCCACTGTAATTTCAAACAGTCACTAAGCAAATTGTTGTAAGTCGAGGACTACTTGTACTATATCACTTTTTTCCTCTTTTTTTTGGGTCATCAAGTTTTTGACACCTTGCTAGGCGACTGGTGGTACTCGGATGTTGCCATATAAGAGCCGAGGTGGCGCAGCAGTTAGGGTGCAGTACTGCAGGCCACTTTAGCTGACTGTGTTCAGCAGGTCAGCGGTTCAAATCTCACCGGCTCAAGGTTGACTCAGCCTTCCATCCTTCCGGGGTAGGTGAAATGAGGACCCAGATTGTTGGGGGCAATGTAAATATATATATACATTGCTTACTGGTGTACACCGCTTAGAGAGTGCTTGCACTTAAAGCGGTATATAAGTCTCATAAATAAATAAATAAATAAATAAATAAATAAATAAATAAATAAATAAATAAATAAATAAAATATCCTAAAAGTGGCACAATGGGTGAAAAGGTTGAAAAACCCTGAATTAGAGGGTTAAAAGGAGATGTTGAGATAAGGGGAATTTTGGTTATTGGATTCAAAACAGTCGGAAATTAGTGGAAAATAAGAATTTGATTTGTTTAATATTGAAAAATTAGACTTAAAAGGGAAATGAAAATTATCAGGAATGTTTGATTTATTGATTAACTCAGGCAATATATATAATGTCTTTGATCTATCTAAGGGGATATCCTATTATTAAGTAGATGATTTATTATGGTGGGAGTTTTAGAAAATAGAAGAAGATTATATTTAAATAGGTAAAATGTGTTTTTTGGATATTATGAAATGAGATAAGGGAAAGTTTGGTTACCCAAAGCTTGAAAATAATGGATATTAAAGGTTAATTGGAATATTGATGAGAAATTAAAAATTAGGTAAAAATTAATAACAGGATATGGAATGTTTTATAAAGACTAATTAAGATATGGATAAGCTAAAAAAATGTATCGATAAATGTAATAATGATGTTTTCATTGAGTTGATACAACTAGAAATGTACTAGCTTGAACATGACATAGTAAATGTTAAGGGGAAAAGAGAAGAAATATTTGATGATGTAACCCAAGATTTGTACTAAAGATTTTGTTATTGAATTATTGATTAACCCCGCCACCACATTGCTTTTTAAATATTCAAATGTAAAATTGGAAAACCAATAAAATATTACAAAAAAAATGTTCTTAAGGGTGCACAAGCATCTTTAACACATAACACCAAATCAATCTCCATTATGCTATCCTATTTCTGAGGACCTTGAACAAAAGCTGAGGAAGCCACTAATCTAGTATTAATGCCACTCTACAACGCCTTGGTAAGGCCACGCGTAGAATACTGCATCCAGTTTTGCTCGCCACGATGTAAAAAAGATGCTGAGGCTCTAGAAAGAGTACAGAGAAGAGCAACAAAGATGATTAGGGGACTGGAGGCTAAAACATATAAGGAATGGTTGCTGGAATTGGATATGTCTAGTTTAACGAAGAAAAGGACAAGGGGGGACATGATAGCAGTATTCCAATATCTCAGGGGCTGCCATAAAGAAGAGGGAATCAAGCTATTTTCCAAAGCACCTGAAGGCAGGACAAGAAGCAACGGATGGAAACTAATCAAGGAGAGAAGCAACCTAGAACTAAGGAGAAACTTCCTGACAGTTAGAACAATTAACCAGTGGAACAACCTGCCTCCAGAAGCAGTGAATGCTCCAACACTGGAAGTTTTTAAGAAGAGACTGGACAGCCATTTGTCTGAAATGGTGTAGGGTTTCCTGCCTGAGCAGGGGGCTGGACTAGATGACCTCCAACGTCCCTTCCAACTTTACTATTATTATTGTTATTATTACTATTATTATTATATTATTAGTGTTACTTGCCAAATCCACTCGAAAAGCGACCCCCCTTACATCTGACCCCTATTCTGTCCTAATGATAGATTGGAAGGGATCTTGGAGATCATCTAGTCTAACCTTCTGCCCAAAGCAGGAGACCTCATGCCACCCTTTTCTTGAAAACCTCTGGTGCAGTGATGGCGAACCTTTTAGAGACCGAGTGCCCAAACTGCAACCCAAAACCCACTTATTTATCGCCGGGTGCCAGGTGGCCATGGCCCATTGGGTGGGCGTGGCTGTGGTGGTCATGGCAGACTGGGTGGGTGTGGCCAAGGTAGGCATGGTCACTTCAATATTGCTCGTGGGGAGGGACGCCTGTGGGGGCCGGGCAGAGTTGGGGGAGATCCAGGGGGTTTCTGGCAGGTGGGGCAGTGGGCAGGAGGCTCGTTCTGCGGGGTGAGACGAGGTAAGGCGAGGCAGGACGGGGGTGCCGTTGTCGCAGTGCAAGGTGACTCGGGCCGGGGCGGCTGCTGCCTGACACCATCGATCTCTGCACACAGAGGCCAGCGAGCGCATGGGGGCCAACAGTGTCCGTCAGCAGCCACAGCTGGCCAGTCCCTCGACCGGTGCACTCTGGGGCTCCGCAGCCCATCACCAGGAGTTCAGAGAAGCCGCCTCTGAGCTGGACGGCGGGCCAACAGCTGAGAAGGCGGTGCAGTGCATCATGCCTGGGAAAAGGAGAGCATGTGAGGCCAGAAGGGATGGGACGGGGGGAGGGAAACCAGCCGTGCTAGGATGCATCCGGCCACGTGGGACCTTGGCAAGTTAGCAGGCAGCTGGTTGAAGAGGGACGGTTGCCATCTCTGGGGCATGGTGTGCATGCCCACAGAGAGGGCTCTGAGTGCCACCTCTGGCACGCGCGCCATAGGTTCGCCACCATTGGTCTAGTGTTTGGCTTCGCAAACTAGTCCCTCTTCAGTGAAAAATGAGCACCATCTGGTCCTTAATTGTATGGGATTTCCTTTGTTCTTGAAATCTGAGGAACCATAGAATCATAGGAGTAGAAGAGATCTTAGAGGTCTTCTAATCCAACCTCCTGCCCAAGGCAGGAGTTGTCATCCCTTCCTTGTCCAGCCTTGACCTGAAAACCTCCAGTGATGGAGCACCCAGAACTTCTGGAGGCCAGCTGTTCCACTGGTTAATGGCTCTCACTGGTGGGAAGTTTCTCCTTAATTCCAGGATGCTTCTCTCCTTGATTAGTTTCCACCCACTGCTTCTTGTCTTGCCTTCTGGTGCTTTGGAGAGCAGGTTGATCCCCCTCTCTTCTTTGTGGCAGCCCCTCAAGTACTAGAAAACAGTTATCGTGTCCTCCCTAATCCTTCTCTTTGTTAGGCCAAACATACCTAATTCCCTTAGACCAGCGGTAGGCAACCTTGGCTCTTTTATGACTCGTGGACTAACTCCCAGAATTCCTGAGCTAGCCATGCTGAGGGGAAAGGGAAAGGTTTCCAAGCTGAGCCATGCTGGCTCAGGAATTCTGGGAGTTGAAGTCCACGAGTCATAAAAGAGCCAAGGTTGCCTACCCCTGGCCTAGTCTATTAAGCTATTAAGCCTGACAGGAGTAGATTATCTAAACTGGTAGGCCTAGTCCACGGGTAGGCAGACTTGGCTCTTTTATGACTCGTGGACTTCAACTCCCAGAATTCCTGAGCCAGCCACGCTGAGGGGAAAGGGACGAGGTTTCCAAGCTGAGCCATGCTGGCTCAGGAATTCTGGGAGTTGAAGTCTACGAGTCATAAAAGAGCCAAGGCTGCCTACCCCTGCCTTAGACGTTTGTCATATGTTTTAGTCTCCAGACTCCTAATCATCTTTACTGCTCTTCTCTGCCCTCTTTCTTGGGTCTCAACATCTCCACAGCAAGCATGACAGCCTCCCCTAACCCACTACCTTCCTGATAAATTGGAACTTCATATTTCAGTGTTCCTCCTGGGAATCCCTTGGCTGTGTAGGCAAGCAACCCCAAGGGATCCCAAATCTGGATCTCAAGAAACAAGAGCAAGGGCTAATAAGAGCCACAAGGTTAAACTCACTTCCTAGAAAGGAAGACCCACTGAGTACAGTGGCTTCCTAGGAAATATGTCTCAGGATGTCCCAAAGGTTCTTTTTCCAAAAGGCAACTGGGATTTTCTTGGGTTTTTTTTTCCTTGAAAATGTTTTGCTTCTTATCCAAGACGCTTCTTCAGTTCTGACTGAAGGACTTGGAACTGAAAAAGCTTCTTGGATGAGAAGTGAAATGTTCCCAAGGAAAAAATTAAGAAAGTCCCGTTGCCTTTTGGAGGGAAAAAAAAAACACCTTTGGGATAACCATGTCCTGGATCAGGGGTCTTCAAACTTGGCCACGTTAAGACTTGTGGACTTCCAACTCCCAGAATTCCTCAGCCAGCCCTGGCTGGCTGAAGAATTCTGGGAGTTGAAGTCCACAAGTCTTAAAGTGGCCAAGTTTGAAGATCCTTGTCCTGGATGGTTGAGAATCTTCACAGACATATCTCAAGATGTTATCAACAGTGCAGATTTGAAGCATACGTCTCTCGCCGGAAGCTCAGGGACGTTCCTGAGCATGGCGCTGATTTCGTGAAGGAAGGCATCGATCCTCTGCTTCTTCTTCTCCTTGAGGGTCACCTCTTTCAACAGTTCCTCGATCTGCAGAAGGGGAAAAAATGGAACAGAGGTGGGTCATAAGCAGGAAGGCTAAAGTATTCAGGATCTTCCTTTGCTAATAGGAATCGCCCTTTCATTTCCCCCAGCCAAGTTTGCTTCAACCACCAAGCTGCTAGGAGCAAGGAATCAGAGTTACTCATAAATTAGATATTAAGATGGTAAGCAACATTATTGTCCTGCAGCTATACAGGTAGTCCTCGACTTACGACTTAGTTCATTTAGTAACCATTCGAAGTTACAACAGCACTGAAAAAAGTGACTTAGGACCGTTTTGCACACTTACAACCGTGGTCATGGGATCAGAATTCAGACACTTGGCAACTGGCATGTACTTACGACTGTTGCGGCAACTGGCATGTACTTATGACTGTTGCAGTGTCCCGGAGTCATGTGATCCCCTTTTGCCACTTTCTGACAAGCAAAGTCAACGGGGTAGCCAGATTCACTTAACAACCGCATTACTAACTTAACGACTGCAGGGATTCACTTAACAACTGTGGCAAGAAAGGTCGTAAAACGGGACAAAACTCACTTCACAACTGTCTTGCCTAGCCACAGAAATTTGGGGGGGGGGGGTTATTTTATTTATTTATTTTAGCGTACAGCAAGAATGTTAAAAATGCCCTTCACCGTGACCATCTCAACGAGCAAGTAAGAGACTATTCTATTTACGAATTCCAAGGTAGCGTATTTGTAGAGGCAATACACGACTGTGGTGAGGAAGTTTGTGGCTCCAGAAGGATTCCAAGCTAGGCCCCCGCTTGACTCCTCCTCCCAATCTCCCAACCCAAACTGACCTGCAGGCGCAGAAGGTTGGAATGGAACAGGTTCTCCGTCTCCTTGAGGTGGCTCAGTTCTTCGTTGGTGGGCACCTTGTAGAGCTCGCTTTTGCCCAACTTCACCGGCTGCAAGAGGCCTTCAGAGGAGGAAGCCCGTTTCTTGCCCCTCGGCTTCTCTCTCTTATGGATGCCATTTTGGTTCCCTTCCTTCTCCGGACCTTTACTTCCCTCATCACTTTCAGACATCTGCAGGTAGAAGAAGGAGGGAGGAGGGAGGGAGGAGGAGAAAAGAAGAAGAGGAGGAGGAAGAGGGAGGAGGGAAGAGGGAGGGAGGGAGGGAGGAGGAGGAGGGAATTACTCACCTAAATAAGGCTACTGATTCTAGAACAGCCATGCTGGCTCAGGAATTCTGGGAGTTGAAGTCCCCAGGTCATAAAAAGGCCATACTTCCCCAACCCTGTGCTAAGTGGTCTGTTTTCCCACAGTGGTCACAAAAGAGGCAAAAACCCATTTCTCATTTGTTCTGGATCTTATTTTCCCTCTTGGTTTAGCGTTTTTCAACCTTGCCAACTATAAGAGGTGTGGACTTCAACTCCCAAAATTTCCCAGTCAGCCATGCTGGCTTGGGAATTCTGGGAGTTGAAGTCCACATCTCTCAAAAGTTGTTGAGGAACACTGCTCTAGGATATAAGCAATGCTTTAGAGATCACAATAGATGGGTTCAGCCAGCCCAGGATGCCCAAACTAAGTAGAGCCCATGATGGTTTAATGTGATGTGTGAACCCAAAGAGAACAGCAAACTCTGTGGAACAACACAGGATCTGGAAACTCAAGATATTTTCGTTGCCGGCTTTAAATTTCACAGTGACACTTTGAAATTCAAGAACAGGTCAACCAATACTTCCTTCACAAGCTTTTAAACTGTGTTTATTTATTCCCCTCCTTCATGAGGTTTTAAGCTTTGCTTACTTATCCATTCTCCTTTTTTGTGAGGTTTTTTGAACTTTATTTATTTATCCTCCTTCTCCATGAGGATGTGAGCTGTATTTATTGTTTCTCTTCCTTCATGAGCTTTTTAAACTTTTCTTTATAAGATTTGTATGGCGATATATCAGCAGTCCCTAACCTTTCTAACACCAAGAAAAATTGTCTTCCGCAAACCGGGGGTGGGGGTGGGTGGGAGAGAGAATGCATGCATGAAACTTTGCTTGCTCAGCCCGGTTTCTAACAGGCTGTGGACCGGTACCGGTCAGGGGCCCAGGGGTTGTGGACCCCTGCAACACATCTTTGAGAAAGGATATCTAGAGAAAAGGAGGACCAGGGGTGACATAATAGCAGTTTTCCAATATTTGAGAGACTGTCAACATTCTCCAAAGCACCAGAAGGCAAGACAAAGAAACAATGGATGGAAACTGATCAAGGAGAGAAGCAACCTGGAATTAAGAAGAAACTTCCTAACAGTGAGGACAATTAACTAATGCAGTGATGGTGAACCTTTTAGAGACTGAGTGCCCAAACCGCAACCCAAAACCCACTTATTTATTGCAAAGTGCCAGGGCCGCATCAGCATTGTGGTGCCATCAGGGGAGGCTCCTCTGGCATGTAAAAATCGGGGGCACAAAAATGGGCCACCATACTGCAAGATGCAAAAATGGCAGCCACCGCACCGCAGGGTGCAGATACAAGGTGCTGCACCACATAAGAACGGGGCAGAGCTAGTGAGTATCATGCAGGCACTATCCCCGCCCCATTTGCAGTGTGTCGATGTTCACAGCCCCATGTGCACATGCATGCATGTAAAATACTTCTCCCTCCCTTTTTTTCCATTCCGCCATTCGAAAGGTTGGTGACCTCTACTCTACCACCTCTACTTGAGCTTGCTAATTGGACGCTTCGCCTCCTTTGTGCTGGGCGGTGCTCCTGCTCCGGGTGGCGGAGGTGGCCTGATGGACCTGCTGCTGGCAGCAGTGGCGCGCGTGCCAACAGAGATGGCTCTGAGTGCCACCTCTGGCACACGTGCCATAGGTTTGCCACCACTGAACTAGTGGCACAGCTCACTTTCAGAAGCTGTGGGTGCTCTGTCACTGGAGGTCTTCAAGAAGAGATTGAACCTCCACTTGTCTGACTAGACTCTCCTGCTTGAGCAGGAGGGTTGGACTAGAAGACCTCCAAGGTCCCTTCCAACTCTGTTATTATGTTAATCAGTGGAATGTCTTCCTTTTAGAAGTTGTGGGTGCTCCATCACTGGCGTTTTTAGGAAAAAACTGAACAACCACCTATCTGAAAGGGTATAGGATCTCCTGCTTGAGTAGAGGGTTGGACTAGAAGACCTTTAAGATCCCTTCCAGCTGTATTCTGATTAAATAGTACCCTGCTCACAATAGTTATACAGGTAGTCCATGACTTACAGCTTTTCATTTAGTGTCCATTCGCAGTTACAACAGCAATGAAAAAAGGGGCTTACGGCTGATTTTCACTTACAACTGTTGCAGCCTCCCCATGGGTCACGTAACCAAAATTCAGACGCTTGGCAACTGGCTCATATTTATGATGGTTGCAGCGTCCCGGGGTCATGTGATTTCCCCTCTTTTGTGATCTTCTGACAAGCAAAGTCAACGGGGAAGCCAGATTCACTTAATAACCGAAGTGATTCACTTAACTGTGGCAAGTAAGGTCACATAATGAGGCAAAACTCACTTAACTGTCTCGCTTAGCAACAGAAATTTTAAGGCTCAATTGAAATCGTAAGTCAAGGTCTACCTGTAACTGCCCACTCTTTTTGTAGCATTCTTTAACTACTACGATATTTTGTCCGATTTCAGCCCCCCCCCCCGGTTAATTTATTTATTAAATTTCTGTGTCGCCCATCTCATACAGGACGACTCTGGGTAGCTGACATATTGTAGAAACAAGTAAAGAATAGTTAAAGGATTAAGAACAGGAGGCTGAACTAAATGACCTCCAAGGTCCCCCTGTTCTGTTCTAAAAGATTAAACTTAAATAAGATCCATCCTTGGTTCTCACTTGAATGAGACCGCCAGGAATCCCAGATTTGCAGGAAACAATGAAGCATCCTGAAACAAGACTGCGGGACAGGAGAGGCAAGTCCCGGTCCATCTGCAGCCATGAGACCTCACAGTGGCTTTGGGCCCACCAGCTACTCCACGAGTGCTCGAGCAGGGGGCTGGACTAGAAGATCTCCAAGGTCCCTTCCAGCATTATTTTGATTGAAACTACTGCGTTCCTGCGTGGCCTGAGCTGCTGAAAGAAGCGGGACGCAGCCTAAATCAATTATATTTTGCAGGAAATATATTAGGGGTAGTGATGGGGAGGAAGCTTCTGTCCCCCCCCCTAAAAAAAGCAGCCACACCCGAAAGGATGGGATGCCGAGATGCATCAATAAATAAAAGAATAACAAGAGTTGGAAGGGACGCTCGAGGTCTTCTAGTCCAACCCTACAGTTCAAACAGATCAAGCTACGACCAAGATGGGCCAGGATGTGACTGCCTCCGTGTGCGTGTGTCTCACACACGCGCGCACACACCGCCCAAACCTTGAAACAGGACCCGGACTACAATTCCCATCGCCCTTGACATCCCTTCGTGGATGATGGGAGTTGTGGTCCGGTGAGGAGACAGGCGAAACTCCCCGAGAGCCCCACGGTATTGCGTCCCCCCGATCTTTTTCCCTACCCCACTCCGCTCGGTCGCAAACCCACCTTCCGCCGACCGGCTCCCACAGCCATGCGGGTGGCGTTTGGCAAAATCACGTGGAGCCAACAGAGCCACACATAGAGGTTCTTCCGACTTCCGGTGTACAAGCCCATCACTCTCGGCCTCCGATAGGTTAGCGTCGTGTAGCCCCGCCCATCTTACCGTTTGGTGGAGAGCGCAGGAAGTTTGCCGAAACGACCTTTTGAGTTATCGCTGGTAGAAGTCTAGAAGTAGGAAAATGAAGAGAGGTTCAACCTCACTCTCTTTCTCTCTGGAGATGTGACTTCCGGGTTCCGTTTCACAACTTCTCTTGTTTAGAGGTAATCCTCAACTGGCCCTTGATTTAGTGACCATTCAAAGTTGTAACAGCCATGAAAAAAGCGACTTGTGACCGTTTTTCACGCTTACGACCGTTGCAGCATTCCCCACGCTCACGGGATCAAAATTCAGATACTTGGCAACTGACTCAGATTTATGACGGCTGCAGTGTCCGAGGGGTCATGTGATCCCCTTTTGTGACCTTCCCACAAGCAAAGTCAATGGGGAAGCCAGCTTTGCTTAACAACAGTGTGACTAACTTAACAACTGCAGTGATTCATTTAACAACTGCGGCAGGAAAGGTCGCAAAATGGGGCAAAACTCACTTAAATGTTTCACTTAGCAATAGAAATCTTGGGGTCGGTTCTGGTCGTAACTCAAGGACAACCTGGGCATTTTTGGAAGAGGGATGACCGTTTCCGAGTATCGGGCTTTGATGCGTCTTACATCAGTGCATGCAAAACCCACGGAAAACAAATGTGAAGGTTGCAATCCTGGAGGTTTCTAAGAAGAGACTGGATTGAAATGGCATATAGGGCAGGGGTCTTCAAACTAGCGGACTAGGAAACTTTCAAGGTCCCCTCTAAATCTGATATTACATGTCCTATGTTCTGGTGGGAGGTAGTTATGGGATAATTCTAAAGTTTGCATAAAATGCTTTGAAAAGGCAGAAAATTGGAATCATGGATTTATTTATTTGTTAGGCTTTATGCGGTTCTAATCATCTATTCTTGGCATGATCCTAACTAAAGGGTGTGTTTCCCACATTATAATGAGTTTTCAGGTTATTATACTTCAACCCTACCCCTATACCTATGCCTATCCCTACACCTATCTTTACCCCTACCCCTAACTCTACACCTACCCAAACTCTACTCCTATATCTATGCCTATCCCCACCCCTACTCCTATTCTTACCCTATCCCTAATCCTACCCTACCCCTAACTTTAGCCCTATCCTGGCTGAGGAATTCTGGGAGTTGAAGTCCACAAGTCATAAAAGGGCAAGGGCTTTGCTCTTTGGGACAATTACCAGGAGTCAGTGAGTTCTAGTTCCACTTTAGGCAGGAACCTTGACTGGCTGAATAAGAAATATGAAATAAAAATAAATAAATTGTAGAGCTTCATTTTCTTTCTTTCCTTGGTGGTCTTCCTACTAAATACCAGTTTCTCTGATAACCAGCAGATGTCACCCTTGGCCTGCTCAGCTCAGTCCTGATTTTGCTTTAAGAAGCAGAATTGTTTGCAGGTGTCCCACAATCGCAACCCCAGTCTTTTTCACACCCAGGGCTTTATCACAGTATTGGAAAAAAAAAAAAAAAACACTTGACTTTTTTTGACACTATCCCACAAGTGCCGGAACCTCCTGTCCCCATTCGTAGGCCTCTTTGACCAATTCCTTAATTACAAGAAACCATAGTTTGTTTAACTGTAGTTTATTGGATAAACCACAATTACAGAAAGCCAGTTTGTTTAGCTATTGTTTATTGGATAAACCACAATTACGGGAAGCTATGGTTTGCTTAGCTGTAATTTATTAGATAAGCCACAATTACAGAAAGCTATAGATTGCTTAGCTGTAGTTTACTGGAGAAACCACAATTATCAGAAGATATAGTTCTTTTAGCTATAGTTTATTGGATAAACCACAGTATAAGAAGCCATAATTTGTTTAGCTATAGTTTATTAGATAATCCACTAACCTAAACCAACACCAAGCATATTTCCATGACCAGAGAACCTGATATGTCAACCAAAGTCTCTTACTCAATGTGCACCAAATTACTATAATTACTTGAAGTAAGATAAATTTGAATTTAAGATCAGTGTCCCAAAGGAAATTTGCCTAGGAAATTTTAGGTATTCTCAGGAAATCCAACTTTATCATCACATTTTATTACATATATACACAAACAGGGAATTTACATTTCACCTAAAAATTAAAGTTTTCCAGCATTTTATTATCTGATTGTAAATAAGAGTAAATTGCACTGTTTTTAAAAGCCTGTATGTCTTTATTAAGATATAAACAAATATAAAGATTGAGAACCCTAATCCATACTGTATAAATTATAGAATAAATGAAAAACTGTGATAAATTTTATCCATACTGCTAGAAATCTGTTCAGATTAAGAAATTTAACAAACTCAGAAGTTAAGGTTTTAACTAAAGATAAACCTTGATTTTGATTCTGGAACAAATCCGCAAAAAAAATCATAATAGAAATGTCCTGTTTTAAAGGTAATCCCTCCCCCTCAAAACAAAAAAAAAGGGAAACAAATTGCCAAAATTGGTTAAAAGTTTTTTTTAAAGTTCACTTTGAACTTTGCGTGTATGTGTAGAAACAAATTCTGAATTAATTAAAATATTTGTAAAGCTTTTTCCAAGTCAAGCTCATCAGCAGAAAACTAGAAGTGGGTGGCTGATCTCTTCATCCTCAACTTACAACTAATTACAACGCTCATGGAGCCCAAAATTCTGGTTCAAATTCATGCTGGGTGTAAGTCGAGGCCTCCACCCGACTGACCTGATTTTATAACCGGTTTTTTTATGTGTATGTGACAGTTGTTAAGGAAGTGCCGCAGTCAAAAAATGAACCCTGTGGTCGCAAAGCAAGTCAATGTATCCCTATGGGTGCTTTTTTGGTGGGAACCACTTGAAAAAGACCAAAGTCTTAAAAAGTCATAAATTGCAGTCATATGATGACGGAATGCTGCAACAGGTCGTAAAACTGATTACCAACACAATCGTGTGACATGGAAGGGAATGTCAACCGTCAGAACTCTGGACCCGGGTCATAAGTACATACTGGGGGTTCCTTCATAACTTCAAAAGATTAAATGAGGACTACCTGTGAATTTGTGTCACAATTAAAATAGGGGTGAGAGTCACATTCTGTCTGCTTTATGCTGTTTTGGGGTCCCATTCCCCAATGAGAGCATTGCAAAATTTTCCCGGTTTTTGCAAACAAGCAGTTTTCTATTTTTTAAAAATTAATTGGGGGATTTTCTTATTTGACTATCAGTTTTCATATCTTTACAACCTTCATAAAAAACAGTTTCCCTCGTTTGGTTCATTCTGCCAAGGCTTGCCATGGAGGTATAGCTGTGTTTTTTTTTCAATCTTGGCAACTTTATGTGGACTTTTAACTCCCATAATTCCCCAGTCAGCACAGAATTCTGGGCGTTGCAGTCCACATATCTTAAAGTTGCCAAGGTTGAAAAAGACTGGGTTATACTGTACTGGTCAAGAAAACCCACTGAGCCATAACCAGGCCTCAACTTGGTTTATGGTGGTTTAACCATGGCTTATATGTGGTTACATCAAAGCTTAGCCTAATTGTGGTTTACACATGATTTGGCCCAATGCATTAATGTGATCCAAGGGGGCTGCTTCACATTATTGCATAAACCAGAACATAAACCATGTTCTATGGCAGTTGTGTGACTTATCTATACGAGCGCTTGTCTACCTTTACATGTACAATTATATATTGTGACAATTATATCATTGATCCATTGCCTACGTTTTATTGCATCTTTTAGGGCAATTTCCCGCCTTCATTACTGCAAAAGATTTTGAAAATAACGCCCAACAAACCAATTAGCACCCCAAAATGACCCTTTTTTTCTTGAAAACGCACCATTTCAGACAAACCGCCCCCCCTTTCAATGGCTTAATGGTTCCGTCCATTTAAGAGACGCTTAAACGCCTTCCCACCACACAAGAAAACACAGACGGAAACCAGCCCATCCCTGAAGAAGGCTGAGTACTTTTAACAACTGTGACCAATGGCCGAACGCTTCCTTCCCTTAGGGCGTGTACCATGGAGCCAGCCAATGATATTACGCGAAAAGGCAGGATTAGACTAAACATTGGACGAGAGAGCGCTTGAGAGAGAGCGAGCGAGCGTGATGGGCGGTTCAGCCCAGCCAATCAGAAGCGCTGGCAATCGGCCCAATAAAGCCGCCTCTCACGTAACCGGGGGCGTTGCCAAGGCCGCCTCTGACGTAACCGAGAGCGTGGCCAAAGCCTCCTCTGCGTGCGCGTGCGCGGAGAGGCGGCCGGCCGGCCTGCGCCGCCTGCCAGGGAGGCGGAAGCGGCGGCGGCGGCGGCCGCGGGAGGGTGGAGCCTACCGGGCGGAGCGTGCGCGCTCACGTCTGCGCGCGAGCGGCGTCGCCGTCACAAAAGGAAGCGGCGGCGGCGGCGGCGGCGGCGGCGTTGAGGGCGCCGCCGGTGGGAAGCAAAGCGGGCCCGGGGTGCGCGACTGCCTCGCTCGGTGGCGCAGGCCGCGCTCGTTGCCTTTCCCCCTCCCCGCCCCTTCTCGGGCCCCGCGGCGCCGGTGGGCTCGCCCAGGGCCGCCCCGCACGGAGCAGGAGGATCGCGGCGGCGGCGGCGGGCGGGCCGGGCGGCCTAGCCCGGCCTGGCCCGCCGCGGCCCGTCCCGTCCCGTCCTGAGCGGCGCCCGCCTCGCCGTCCCCCGCCGCCTCGTCCTCCGCCATGGCGCAGCAGCAGGTGAGCAGCTCACAGAAGGCGCTGATGCTGGAGCTGAAGGGGCTGCAGGAGGAGCCGGTGGAGGGCTTCCGCATCACTCTGGTCGACGAGTCCGACCTGTACAACTGGGAGGTGGCCATCTTCGGGCCGCCCAACACGCTCTACGAGGGCGGCTACTTCAAGGTGAGAGGCTCCGCCCCCCAGGCCGGCCCCGCCCCCACCGGGGGGGGGCACGCGCGCGGGCCTGGCACGGGAGGGGGGCGGTTGGGGGAGGGGAGAGACGCCCTCCTTGGAGGGGCACCCCCGGGCGGGAGGACTCCTCCCCACTCTGGGGAGGGGGCTCCCTGCCGGGGAGGGGGTTCTCTGGATGCCGCCCCCTCAGACGAGGGCTTGGCACCCCACTTTCTCATGAGCGTCCCCCCCCGCTTTTCGTGAGGGAGGGTCTTTCTGGCTTGGCACCCCACTTTTCATGGGGGTCTTCCTGTTTTTCACAAGTTTGTGAGGGGAAAGACTCTCCCCGGAAGGGGGTCCGCCCCCCCAGAGGCTCCTTACGGGGGGGGGGAGCTGCGTGACTTGAAGCGGCTTCTCTGCACAACCCCCCATGGGCTTTGCACCCTGCTTTTTCATGAGGGTCTCCCCATTTTTCATGACAGTCTCCCCAGGTTTGCACCCCGCTGTCTAATGAGACACCTCCCCCCTCCCGCTTTTCGTAAGGGAGGGTGTCTCTGGCACCCCACTTTTCATGAGAGTCTCCCTGCTTTGGTCTCCCTAGTTTGGCACCCCACTTTACATGGTCCCCCTGCTGTGGCTTTTTAAGTGAGGTCTCCCTGCCTTTCCACCCCACTTTTCATGGCAGTCTCCCCGCTTTGGCACCCCTCTTTTTCATGAGGGTCTGCCCGTTTTTCTGGGTGTGTGCCCCCCTTTGGGGGTCTCCCTAGGTTTGAGCCCCCTTTTCAAGGAGAGTCTCCCCTCTTTCCAAGAGTGCCTTCCTGGGTTTGCAGCCTGCTTTTCACGTTTGACATCCCACTTTTTAAGGAGGGTCTCCCTAGTTTTGCTCCTCACTTTTCATGGCGGTCTCCCCGCTTTGGCACCCGGCTTTAGATGAAGGTCTCCTCAATTTTTTTCATGAGGGCCTCTCTGGGTTTGCACCCTTTTTTCTAATGAGGGCCCCCCCCGCTTTTCGTGCGGGAGGCACCCCACTTTTCATGGTGGTCACCCCACTTTGGCACCCTGTTTTTCATGAAGGGCCTTCCCCACTTTGCAGCCCATTTTTAATGAGGGTCTCCCCTCTTCATGAGGGACACTCTGGTTTGGCACCCCATTTTTCATGGCGGTCTCCCCACTTTGGCTCCCCGTTTTTGATGAGGGATTGCCTGCTTAGCATCCCGCTTTTTCAGCGGGTCTTCCCTCTTTTCATGAGGGCCCCCCCTGGTTTTGCACCCCAGTTTTCATAGTAGTCTCCCTGCTTTGACATCTTGTTTTAATAAAGGCTTCCTTGCTTTTCATGAGGGTCTCCCTGCTTTTTTGCGCCCTGCTTTTCTTGGGGGGGTCTCCTCACTTTGGCACCCTGGTTTTCATGCGGCCTGCTCCGCTTCTGTACCCTGCTTTTTATGTGGGTCTCCCCTCTTTTTGCACCCCACATTTCATGACTGTTTCCCTGCTTTGGCCCCTCACTTTAATGAGGGTCTTCCTGCATTCAGGGGCGCCTTTTCTTCTTGCTTTGTTCCTCAGAGACTCCCTTCTCTTCCCCCCCCCCAACCCATGCATTTTAATGAGAGGGGAGGGGCTGTGTCTGGTCCTCTTAGCTCCCCCCCCAATTTCCCCCCTTCTCCTGAGGCCACCTGGGGAAAACCGGGCAACTGGGGAGGGTTGGAGCCCAGCCCTTCAGAGCCCCCCCCCTTCCTGCTTTTCAGGGCCTTTGCTTTGCTTTTCTCCCCCTGCATTTCTGGCTGGCTGGTATTTTGCATGGAAAGAGAACCAAATTCTTAATTTAATCTTCTGTATTATTTTTTTTTTAAACCTTTTTATCCACTGTGCAATCCTCCCAGGGCTGTTCTAGCAGTGTTATATAGGTGGCATATAAATTTAATAAATAAAAATAAAACCAGCTCCAGTTCTCTTCCCCTCCACCTCCAGCCCCGGGGAGACAAAAGGATGGAATCCTCCCTGCCTTTGGTTGAAAGGAACCCAAACTGGAGGATTATCTAGATAGGATCCAAATCCAAATTACTTGTAAGGCTGCCCAGAATCGCTTTATATGTGTGAGAGAAAGTTTATCTCACGTATTATTTCACATTTTATACGTGAGATGAGCCGCATATAAATGTAATAAAAAATAAATATGTAAAAATCAGAATGCTGTTGGGAGGACGGGCACTGGGAATGCAGAATGCACCCTTCTCATGTAAAGAAGTAGCTTGCTTTAGGAACCAAAAATGGACAGATATTTCTCTTTGTGCTTGCCTGGAGCATTTTGGATCTTGAAAAGGATCCTTCACGGAACACTCACCTAATTTGTGTGTCCAATAAATAATAATGGACATTTCTAATCTGAATTTGCATTGGAGGAGGGACTGAATGCCTCATGTTTTAGGAGCATATGTGAATGATTTAATTCAAGGGTTGTGAACTATGGCCCTTTGACTTGTGGACTTCAACTCCCAAAATTCCTGGCTGGCTCAGGAATTCTGGGAGTTGAAGTCCACAAGTCATCAACGGGGCCATAGTTCCCCGCCTCTGGTTTTAATTCTTTTGAATGGAAAGACCTTCCAAATCAAGAGCAACTGGTAGGAGGAAACTGGGAAAAAAAAGAAAGTTAAAAAGCAGTGACCGTGTGATCAGAGCCCTGCCCCTATTTTTATGAGGGTCACCCCATTTTTTTTTTTAATCTCCAGATGTTTAGGTGGTCTTGCTTTTAACATTTGTCAATCTGGGCAGCTTATCTGGCGGTGCACTGCCTGCATTTTAGGCAGGTGGGTTAACTTTCAATGTAAAATGTTAGGAAAATGAATGCTTTTTTTTTTAAATCCTAGGGTTTTAAAAGTGTGGAGGCAAAATAATTTTGCCATGCACTGATTTCATTTGGAGAGGGAAGGTGTTGAATGCAGTATTTGCAGTGAAATTGTAAATAAATGAACTTTTAGAATGTGCTTTGCAAATTCTGGCAAAATACCTTGATACCCCATTAAGTGAAAAATACCCTTACTAGTTGAAGATTATTTTTAAGTATTTTATACATATGTGTGTATTGTCATATGCAAGGTTATAGTGGTCCTTTGTGGGGATGGTTTTGATGAATAGTTGGTTGGATTTTGCCTGCTTTATGAATATATTTTAAAGCAGGACTTGTGGACGTCAACTCCCAGAATTCCCCAGCCAGCATGGGGAAGCCTGGGAGTTGAAGTCCACAAGGCTTAAAGTTGCCAAGACTGGACACTCCATTTGAAGCCCTTCATGGGAGGCCAGTGGCTGTTCTGAAAGCACAGGGACCTCAAACAGTTATTAAAATATATCTTGCAATATCCTCCCTCTAACTGCTATCTTAAGTAAATACGTTTGAGACTGAACTCATAAGTTATAAGGTGTCGTTTTCTTGTTACTCAATTATACTTGCTTCATTTTCAGTGTAGCTAAGTACTGGCTGATAGCTATACTGTAAAAACTTGGGCTGGGTTTAATATTAGAGCCCTATCGTGAATCGCAGAATTGATTTGTCACTGGCTATAGGACTACAACTGGCTGATTTAATGTGAGTTTTACAAGCTGACATCGGTGTTTCTCCTTATTCAAAGCACTTAAAAGTAACGCCAGAAGATAATAAACTAGGATTGTCATGGCCACGCCACACTAGGGTGTGGGTGAAATGAGCAGACAGGGGAACTGAGAATCAGGGTTTCAGAGGATAGGGCTAAACAAACTCAAAAGGTAGGCTGCAGTATATTTGCAGCCTATGACTTTTTCGCTCAACGTCACAGCAGTCAGTGTCCAAGAAATTCCATGAAACCATAAACCTCTCTCGCACATCTCCTGTGGAGATGCCAGCGGGACGTTTTTCAACCCACAGGGGAGCAGTAGTTATCCTAAAATGGTTGTAAACATAAGACGAGGCATGCTGGCCTGAACCCCTTGGAGAGAGAACCCATAAACATGAAAAACAGCTTTTTAAAAAGTCAGCATCGTGTCCTGAATATGAAATTTCGCGTATTGGTAGAAAGCAAACAGGATTGAAATGCCTACTCCAGATCATCTACTGCCATATTATGGGGAGGCAGATTAGGAACGTAATTGTTCAGCTGGGTGAAACCCAGGTCCACCAAGGCAGGTATCTTTCAACGACAGGCAGCTGAATGCATGCAGGACAGGGTGGGGAATGACCATGGTGATTTTTCCAGAGCACCTGGTCTCCAGAAAGTTGTTGCTTCTACCTGGGCAACAAAATTCCATTTAACTCTGTGCTCAGAACCATAGGGGGTGATTTTCTTCAGTCCTTCTAAAAATAAAAATAAAAAGGAAATGTACTCTGGAGACCATCACTGCAACTATTGGACCTGATGCAAATAAAATGCTGAGTGCACTAATTCACACAGTAATTGTAGCTGCCTAGGAAATTAGGGACTTAACTGAAATTTTCTGGAAGGTTTTTAAAAGCTGGGTGATGTTACCTAGTTAGGGTCTGCAAGAAAACCACCAAGCTCAGAGAGCTTCAAGGACCCCAGGGCCGTCGTCCTCCTCCTCACTACAGATCCCACTCTTTTCTAGCACTTATGATGTTATTTAGTTGGATAATGAAACATCTGCAAGAAAAACACCAAGCTCAGAGAGCACCAAGGGGTTTCTCATTTCAAACTTGAGCTACAAATATTCTCCTTTATTGATGGGTAAAGCCCACGAAATGGAGCCATGCAATGAACCAGCATAAAGAACATATACAGTAAATCTGTTACTTTGATAAAGAGCGAGCAGTTAAAGCCAAATGGAGCACAGGATCTTTCCTAGAAAAAAATATGCAGCAGGAAATCTGGTCGCATCTTTCTGGCTTTTCACACGTGCGGTTCCAAAACTTAGAAGGCCCTCGTGGCCTCTGAGGATCCCTGCATCCTTTGAAGATTTTTCTGACCCGTTTTTGAACATTTCTCCATTATTCTCCCGTATGAATTATTTTTTTAACAGAGGAAAACTTTTTT